CTAAATCATGAAAAAATTGTCTAAAAACATGTGAAAAAGAAAATATAATTGTCTGATATTTTATGAGAACAGGTAAAACTTCTTGAAAGATATATAGAGTATTTCAATAAAAACCTTTAAAAATGTAGGGTCTCACCCAAAAACTTAATGGGTCATCCACCAAAAACCTAATCTTATCCATCATTCTGTAATTTTTATATGAATCGATCGGCATATTGAAGAAGAGGGCTTTAAATTAAATTTAAGCTGTAATATATTCTTCATTTCACTAGGGGGCAGTAAATGTGCCTATTCATATATAAAAGGATTGTGTTTTTACAGTGAAAAAGTTTATAAAATATAATGTAGGAAACATATATATACTGGATGTGTTATACATAACCATCCATTTCCAGGTATTTTCAATAAGTTTATATAACAACAATACAAATACCAGTACATAGAGTATAACTTTACATTCCAAAAAGAAAATAAACAGTAAAAAATAAATAACATACTCATTGATTTACTGTGTTTTGACCATTTTCCCTGTGCCTCTGCCCATTCACATTAGATTCATATCTTACACAGTTCACGTTTCACTGAAAAAATAAGAACCAGACCATAAAGAACCGCTTTCAAAACGTAATCGTACTACTTATTTTCTATTATCTGGGATTAAAAAAACTTAGTTTTAATGTATTCCATTAATTATAAATATATACATGTACCGAAACGGCGAAAGGACGAACTGACTCATCAAAACAAATATTCGAAAGAACATCAAATCGACTTCTAAACTTTATAAAGAAAACATTTCTACGTGTGTTTTTCAATTAAGAGGTTTGCATTTTACTTATGTTTTCATACCGTAATATCTCCCAGCTTTGGTGTTGTGAACAACAGTTTATAATTTTTGACAGGCAAAATTTGGCATGGGCGCAGCCATTTTAACAGGTGGCGCTGTTTGCGCGCTGCGCATTGCATTTATAACATGTATTTACAAGCTAAATCTTGTGTTAAAATTAATTCTTTTAGTCATATATCAGAATTTTTTACAAGTCATACAGGCGTTCGTCAGGGTGAAAATTTATCTCCCATATTGTTTTCTTTATTTTTAAATGATTTAAACTATTTCCTGTCACAACATTTTAATGGTCTGGATCTACTATCAAACATTGTAAATGATATCTGATGTTGAAATGTATTTTAAATTGTATATTCTTTTATATGCTGATGACACAGTTATATTTGCTGAATCTGCTGAAGAACTGCAAAAAGCACTAGATGCAATGTCAAATTATTGTCAATTATGGCATTTACAAGTTAATCCTAGTAAAACTAAAATTATTGTTTTTTGTAAAAGTAAAAGAGGTTTATGTAATATTCCAGCCTTTAGTTTTGAAGGTAATTTGCTAGAAATTGTTGATGATTTTTCATATCTGGGTGTTAAGTTCTCTTATAATGGTAAAATTGCTAAAACAAAGAATCTTTTATTAGAACAGGCAAGGAAGGCTATGTTTTCAATTATAGTTAAGGCTAGAAAATTGGATTTGCCTATCGGTATGCAAATTCATTTATTTGATAGCATGGTAGCACCTATATTGTTATATGGTAGCGAAGTGTGGGGAATTGAAGATGTGAATATCATAGATAGATTTCAATTAAAATTTTATAAACTGATATTAAATTTGAAACAAAGTACTCCAAATTGTATGCTTTATGGAGATTTAGGGATATTACCTTTATCTATTCATATAAAAAGTAGAGTTTTGTGCTTTTGGAATAAGATTTTAAATAGCAAACAAGAATCAATAAGCCATATATTGTATGATATGTCACACTCTGTGTATTGTAGAAATGTGTTGAAACTCCCATGGATGAATAGTGTTTGTAAATTACTAGATTCACTGGGTTTATCAAATTTTTGGATTAATAATGTTGCCACTTCTCTTCCATTGTTTAAGAAAATTGTTAAAAATAGACTGAAAGATCAGTTCATTCAAAATTGGCATAGTGAAATGTCACAATCAAGTAGAATCAAATTATAGAATGTACAAAAGTGAATTCAGATTTGAAAAGTTTTTAGATATTTTACCATCTCATTTAGCTTTGGTACTATTGCGCTTTAGATGTATGAACCATAAAATGCCTATTGAGTCTGGTAGATTTTGTAATATACCAAGAGAATTAAGAGTGTGTAATTTATGCAATAATAGCTCACTTGGTGATGAATATCATTATTTATTTAATTGTCAATTCTTTAATACTGATAGAAAAAATATATTACTAGAGAGTATAGTACTAATGTTAATTCAATAAAGTTTTCTATGTTAATGAATAGCACAGATAGGAGTATATTGTTAAAACTTGCAGTATTCTGTAAAAAAATTATTTCAGCATTTAAGTAACTGATAACTAGGCTTATTTTCATAATGTAATACTTTCATTTTTAATTTATATTTGCCATGTAATACATCAGTATATTTCATGGATATCTCTTTATGATATGTCATACTATATGTATATATTATTGTATATGTGACTGATGCCTCTAAGAGGCCCAGCATTTTCAATAAACTGTTCATTAATCAGCCAATCACAGTATGGTAAGTGAAATTACCCAACAGGCTCAGTATAAACTTAAACACTACCACGTGCTTACGCACATGTTTAATGTAAACAATATAAAATGCGGCTAGATATCAACCAATCACGGTATCGAAAGTGAAATTACCCAAGAGGAGCAGTATACAATAAACCTAACACACCCAAAATGTTTAATTTTAAACAACTTTAATAGAAAAAATTAAGTTCACTATTCTTCCAGGGGAAAAAGGACAGTAAAAATAGCCGCGTAATTCATGTTTGATAGAAAGTCAATAAATAAATTTAAACAAAAAATAGTTAACAGTATATATATCTATATATGAAAACTACACAATTTTGAACATTTTCCCAACAAAATATTAGTCAAATAAATGTAAACATTAGTGCTATATCTATCAGTCCATGTATGAATAGTTACCAAACCACACAAAGTCACTTAGATTCCGTGCTTGGTATCACAGTTCCTGAGGACCCGACGGGCACTTTATCCAGATCACTTAGACGAAATACCACTAGTTTTTTTTATTGTTTTTCAGTAATGCCACGATTCTGCCTTCATCGCTCCAGGCAGCCTTCACCTGATCGTGTGCGGAGGTGTTTTCCAGAAGTTTTGCGTTGACCCGTGTGAGGTCTTCTCTTATGACGATGAACGAACCCTTAAGTTGTCTGCGAGCTTTCAATACTTCATGTTTGAGATATCTCTGTACAAACTTACATATGATGGGCCTGTTCCCATCACTACGGAACTTCCCGATCCTATGTGTGATGTCAAAGTCTCCATTTCCGACTTTTATATGTAGCTTATCGGAAATAATTGAAATTACCTTCTTACATGTGTCCTCGTAGGTTTCACTGACATCGTCTGCAACTCCGTAAATTCTGACACTGTTACATCGCGTATACTGTTCTAGATGATTGTTCTTTTCTTCCAATGATTTAACTTTAACTTCTCTTTCATCTATTTGCTCTTGAAGCGTTTTGTTTCTATGTAGTAACTGATGGTTTCCTTCCTGCAGTTGATCGGTTTTTACTTCTAAATCTGATACTTTATTTCTCAGAGTTTCTACTACATCTTCTATCGACTTAACCCTATCACTTACTACCTTCACTTCTTTATGTATATTATCTAGTTCCTTCTGTACTTGGACTTTAATGACTTTTTGTAGGTCTTTGAGCTTCTTACCAAGCAGATCCTCAGTAATCATTAATTTAAATTTTGATTCAATGTATTCTTGTGATGCCAAACTATCTAATTTATCAGAGACACTCTTCAATATATGCTTCAACTCATCAGGATTTGCATTAAATACCAAATGTTTATCAAGGGTAGGCTGGTTTGAAGCCTCGCTTGGTTTACCTTTAGTTTTTGGAGTTTCTACTGGACTTCTGCCAGTCGGAGACATATCTGCATCACATTGTTCTTCTGTCGATTGTTGTGGTTTGTTTACATTTGATTTGTTTTATTGGTTTGAGTAGCTGAAAGAACTTAAATTGCTGTAGTCCATGATTTTTGAGATGTATGTAAATACTAGCTGGTGGTTGATGAACAATTTTATAAGTACATTGTAAATCACGTTATTTTTTTCTTTTTAAGCACAATTTGTTAACTGATTGGGACCAATCGTCATGTGAAGTTGTTTATTAGTATGTTAAAAAGTTATAAATGCCAAATAAAATTAAGAAGACTTAAGTTAGTGCACGTAACCCAACGGAGAATATTGAAGCGGCAACATATAATTTGACTCATTAAACATTGCACATTACGTTTCCTACTTTAGAGAACAATCGGGAACCAGCCATAATTGCCCTGACAATGTGCACCAGTTGGTGATTGTTATGACGTCACAAAAGGCGAAATATTAAACTCTTTTTTTATATTTTACCTGAGCTCTCTTAGGATAAGCTTTTTGGGTCGTCAGTCCCAAATTTAATTAGTAAACACCGTAGTGGTCACATTTTGGCCTCAATTGTCACCACCCTTGGTCAGAATGTTGTTTGTCCCAGTAATTGTTAGGACGAGTTCGAACATGGATTATCTCGGATGAAAAACAAGGTCACAAGAGAATCTTGTTAACACTCTTGTGACTAATTTCCCCATCCAAATATCCTGGCAGAAAGGTTGTTCAGATGATTTCTAGCTCAAGATTGAATAAGGGTAATCTGGGGTAAAAAATATCTAGGCGAAATATGGGAAAAATCTTCAATTGAGATAACCTGAAAAATGTCCTTAAGATTAGTTACAAGTTTGAAAATGGACACTTTGGGTAACAAAAAAAATAGGCCACACAGTGAAAATATGGAAGAAAACTTGTTTACACTCTTGAGGCTACTGTTTCGGTCCAAATTTCCAGGAAATAAATATCCTAACTAATATTCACTGAATAGATACACATTATTTCATATACTTTCAGGAATATATTTCATACGGGACACTATCGTTAATCAGTACAGAAACTCGTCTTTGAATTATAACATTCAAAATATCCTGGGGAGAGGAGGTGCAGATCCTTTAAACAATGTATCTATTGACGAGGAATCCTTGTACGCTGAAAGGCAAAGAGCCATACATGAAGGTTGTCTTAGAATGAATAGGACAGTTTCTTTCAGTTGGAACGAAACAAAGCATTCAGTTGTTTCGAAAAATCGTTTAATATACTATTGTCCGATAACAAAGGTTGGATCAACATTCTGGAAAAGAATTCTAACTGTACTTGATAGCCAAGGAAAGTATTCGTCACCTTTTGAATTGGATCTAGGTCAAGTTAAATTGTTAAACGCTAAAGAACTTTCAGCAACAGACTTAAAGCGTGTCGAGGAAAATGGGACTTCTTTCATGTTTGTAAGAGATCCCTACGCCCGGATATTTTCAGGTTACGAAAACAAAATTTATCATTCCAATTTAATGTATTGGAACGCAATAGGCAAACATGTTATTCGACTCATTCGTAAAAGTAATGACGATGTGTATACCAAATACGGATTTGACGTCACCTTCCCCGAGTTCATTAAGTACTTACTGTATCTCAGTGAAAATAACAAAAATGTCGACATTCATTTTAAACCAATGGTTTCAATCTGTGACCCCTGCAGTACACACTTTCAATACATTGGAAAGATGGAAACGTTTAAAAAAGACGCCGATTTTCTCATATCAAAATGGCGACAGAAAGAGTTTGGAAATGTTACCATAGAGTTCGGGAACTTCGAGAAAGACTCTATCGTAGATACTGCGAGAGGACGGATTAAGTTTTTATTTCAAACGAAGACAATTTTAGATCAAATAAGGTTCCCTTTTGAAAAACTAATGCTAAGGACATGGCGAGATCTACAAATAAGAGGCTATATATCTAAGCATGTTAAATTTCCGTATGAACATTACAATGTAACCACAATTACAAAAGAGGATTTTATTGCGGAGGTTAAAAAAGCTTTGGAGGCGATACCTGATCGTGAAACGATCAAGAAACAAAGAGAAGAAGCTCTTGTACAGTCTTATCGACAGGTCTCAATAGAAGACATGGAACGTTTGAGGGAATTTGTTCGGGAGGACTGTCAGTTGTTCGGATACGATGACAAGCCAGCACACTTATTTGATAGAACAACACCTCTACAAGATGATTTTTTATATCTCGATGGCTTAGATACGTGAAATAATTTGATAGTCTCATTTTCATGTTTTGTAGATCTGAAAGATAAAATGATTGATAAAGCAGAAAAATAAATTGCCGTTATCCCCCCTAGACCGTCCTTTCATTACCCTAACAAAATCCGCCCAATTTCGTCCGTCCGTTACCCCGTCAGACATAAACGATAACTCATGATATCTTTCTGAAATATCTTCCAAATGATAAGGGGATCAGGACGGCGATGGGGAAAATCTAAGAGAAAGGGGAAATACTTACCGTAGACGAAAAACAAGAAGTAATGCAAAAGTGTCACCACAACAGTATGTAACAATGAACACGATATACATCTGAGTACCACAGGGAGCCGTCTTGGAACCGGCAACAGCTTAACCTGGGCAGTTTAAACCGGTAAATGGTGCCCCAAACCTGTAAGCCTCAACGTGTTCTTTTAAAACAAGTAAAGGGCCCGACGAAGCAAGACAGAGGATGAAAATTAAGACTTTTCAGGTCCAAAGTGTTTTAAGAACTGCCCATCAAAGAGTCTTCCACTTGGTCCGTCAGATATAATCAAAATATGTAAGCGTAGTGCTCAAATGTAAAAGGGTTGAGCACTAAGCATGCAGTATGTCTTAGAATAGAAGGGTCATAACCTCTTTTAATAAAATGTTTAATTATTTTAGAAAAGGCAGTAGAAAAGTTACCATGACCCAAGATCTAACGAAGTTTGTAAATCACATCTTTATAGAAGTCAGGCTTGCCAATCCCTAGCCGCAGAAGAGTTTTTGAATTTGAATTTTGAAATTAAATCGAAATTACGATTATACAATTTAGTCAAATATTTACTTTGTTTATGATAGCGAAAGCCCTTTTTGAGAAGTTTGCTGGCTATGAAAACATTCCGTTCGCTAAAATCGTTTACATAGCTACAAGCCTTAACTGAATCTGATACAAAAACCCAGTAAAATGTTGCACGTGGTACATCTGCATCTAAAAATGAATAATTGGCTATACAAAAATCAAAGTCATCTTTCTTATCATAGATTGTTGTGTGAATTGTATTGTTATCGACTGTAGTATGAAGATCCAAAAATTCGTTTTATTTAGTTGAAGTTCTTTAGGATAGATAACACACAGCATTAGATCAATAAATAATATACAGGGTTTTCTGAACATGAAATCAAGTGTTATTGTCGGAATGGTCGTAAACATAGTGTATCATATGGAATACTGATTGACAATAAACAATAAGAATTAATTTCATACGCCATACGATTGTTACACTACACTATGTCAATATAAACATCAAAGGCATTGTATTGATAAGTCATGGTTTAAAAGCATAGAAATATTATATGTCATGTAACAGACGGACGACGAGCCTATTCTGCTATGCTTTAAGTAACAGAAAGAGGCTGAGGAACACTTTAAGGAACACTTGTTAGGCTATCTGATTTGTACCAGGTGGGGGAGCACTCGAGTATAAATCAGATTGCCGGGTGATTTGATGTTCTGTCTCTTTTGTATCATAGTTTGGGGATCTTTCTGTTGAAAATGTGTCAGAGTTAAATCGTATACATATATGTATATACAATTTAATTTAGTAGAGTAGAGAAGAGTGGTGTAGAGTAGAGTAGAGTGGAGTGGAGTGAAGTAGAGAACAGTACAGCAGAACAGTACAGTAAAGTACAGTACAGTGCAGTATAGTATTTTTTCATTGTAATTTATAAAGATTGCTGTATCAGTTTTGCATGTACATTTCTCTTTCTTTTCTTTTCACAATTGAAATTGCAGCTACTTAAGCTGCCGCATGAATTCCAGCAAAAAAGATTATAGAGAAAAGTTTGTTTGTTTTTTAATTTCACGGGAGATATTCTCCAAAACACACAAAAACCCAAACAAAATCATATTCACGATTATTTAAATACAATATCACCATTTTGGCATTTTATAAAACTTCTGCAATATTCGTTATATTTTTTTTTCTAACGCGCACGAATTTTTCCATCTGTCTCACTTATAAAATTAATATAATAGCGTAACGTCAAATACTAAATACGTATAGTAAATTTGGGTAAGTAGGAAACAGTAGCTTTGCACGACCGTATACGTACATGCTTCCCCACTTAGTTAATAGTCCTTCAAATCAGAACATAACAGTATTAGTTTATCTGTTTGATTGATAATACAAAATCGTCTTCCACCAGTACTTTTAGTAATTTTATAGTAGGCACAGGGGAAACAACTGCTACAACACGATGCATAATGCAAGTAACGGTTATGTCATCTATAAATGTTTAGGCTGGCTAGTTATGGTGGCTGATTTCTGCCTTTTCGTGCCTTCGCCCCTCAAAAGGCGAAAACACGAAGACAATATGTTGGCCTGTCGTGTCGTCGCCTTCGACTTTTGAGGGCGCCGACACCAAGACACGATACATTTTAGGCGAAATAACGATTTTTAATAGGCGAAGACAAGAGGTCTACTTCTGTACAGATATCGTGTCGGCGGGTTAAACTCTTCATATCGGCGCCCAATATTTTTCATGTCGCTGTGTCTTTGCATCAAAAGGTGAAGTCACGATAACTGGCCAATTTATCGAGTCTTTCTGTCGTCATGTGTTCGCTCCGAAATTCAGGTCGAAGGTACGACGACACGAAATGGCGTAAATAAGCCACCATAGCTAGAAAATTAGTTGTCAATATAAAGCGGGCAGACGTAGTTATTTGTTAATATCGTGCGTGTGCTGATCAGAGTGTATAGTATTTTAGCTGATTTATGCAATGTCGTATTTTCACTCCGGAGCGCGACAGACGAAAACACGAACAAGGACTTTATCGTATTTTCTTGTTTTCGCCTGGCGCCCCGCAATAAAAAATACGACATGGCATGAATCAGCCACCATAGTATAGCGTTTCAATTTTGATATACAAGAATTAAATTCAAAATAACGTCATGGAATCATTTACTTGCCAGCTTCTGATTTTGTTATATTGTTCAGTTTTATTTATCTACCTGTTGCATGCTGTTTACACGATCAGCGAACAGAATACATACAAAATGATGAAAATTTGTACAAGGCTCCATTCGACTAGAACTTTAAATATAACCTATTTTTCTTGATCGTTCCAATACCAGAAAAACAACAACAACAAAACCATGTATCGTTATATTTAACTACTTTGATATAAGAGAACTGATTTTATTGTTCATGCAGCAAACATAAAAATCATGTTATAATGTTGATCAATTCATCAGTTTATATCTTTTTTGTTGTTTCTATGGATTGTTGAAAAGGTTTATTAGTACTAAATCCTACATCAGGTTATACTTTATTTCTCTAAACTTGTTTTGTTTTCGTGTAACCACTGGGATTTTCTGACTGCCATTTCCACATGTCAACACCTGCAAAAAATTAAGACAATCTAGTTTTAGCTTTATTTAATATTTATGATTATATCGTCCTATTTTACTTTATGACCTATTATGCCCCAGAAATGATTTTATTTTAATTTCTCAAAAGCCCTTTATATTTTGTATCCTGTTTCAAATATTGTTTCAAATAATCAAAGAGAAATACTTCGCCAAGTTGCAACATTAAGCAAAATACTGTACGTTAGGATAACATACTACGAGCCTTACATATACATATATATTTGTTACCCTTAATTATGTACGAAAGGCGTCTGTGGTGTTCATACACCAGACCAACTGAAAAGTTGCCATTAAAATCAAAATAATAATATAGAAATAGAAAAAAATCTTTTCCCGCCTGATTGCAGTGTTCTGGTTTTGGCTTCTTACATATTTTGTCAAGGCCATATTGAGCTGTCCATCCTAATTCTGCAGCAGCTAAAGATCGTTCGCAATAAGTGGATGCTAGATCTCCTGCACGCCGTTCTACAAATTCGTACGGAATCTGAAAATAAATTGTAACAATAACATTTTCTATGTAATTAATTGTTTAGTTAGTTTAGTTTATACAAATTTATTTTAGTTCGATTGTGTTGGAAGCTATAAGCTTATTGAAACACTCTCAAATCCGTTCCTGGAACCAACCAGTACTAAGCAATGAATGTAAAGTTTCTTGCTCAAGGAAACAACGGCTTGCCCCTGACAGGGTTTGAACCCACGCGGTCAGCAATCCTTAGATTACTAGTCCAACGCGTTAACCAATTATTTAGTTATAAACAAGACAATTAGCAGGTTGTTTTTTTAAAGACTTTAAAACCTTTTTAAATGAATTAATAAAAACGGTAAATTTTTATAGATTTAAATATCGGTAAACTTTAATAAGAAGTATTTATTAAAATTTCAAATAGTAGCAAAAGGGACTACTGCGCAGGACTTTGATTGAATTGGTCACTCACAAAAATTGAGTTACCTCCCTCTATCTAAATTTGGTATGCTTACTTTCTTTCCAGACGCCTTTTCAAATGCATGGACAATATCTAAAACGGAAAATGGTGTCCCAGTGCCTAAGTTATAAATCTGAAATTTAAGTTATAAATGTGAAATTGAAGATAACAATTAACAATAAGATCTAGATACGATTCGAAAAACAGACAGTTCATAGCCTTTTTTTATAATACTCATTAAAGATAATACTATGCTGTAGCCAGAATAGTATTACAAATTAACAAATATTGCATATGTCAACAAAAATGTTAATTGTGTTAAAAAGATGCAAGTAAAGATTTAAAATCTATTCTGATTACTTTCTTTTGTTTTTGTTTAACATGCGAACTAACATATGCAAATTAGGCTCATTTGTTTTGATGTGAAAACAACAACTATACTTTGTACTAATAAGTATAACAATGTTAAGGAATGCTGCGATTTTTAAACAAAGCAAACCACTTATAAACAACTATAAAAGTACAAATGTAAATATACTTGTATGCTCTTTTTCTCAAAATTCTGAACCTCTAAATATGAAAATAAGGCAAAAGATCAATCCAAATAATGACGTCAATTTTATAACGCAACTTGAAATTATTATTTTCCGATTTGATTTTGTTTAACTATACACAGTTCACCACAGCAATTTCACCTTTTTTGCATTTACTCGTAAATTGCATGTATTAAAATCAAATGTAAAAGAAACACAGGCGTTTCTCCAAGAGCAATGCCCGAACGTATAATAACTCGCGAGTAAATTTACTTATCGTCATGACGTCTTTAATGACGTCAGCGGTACCTTTAATCCGCAGTTAGTCTCTATTAGTCGTAATGCTGAAACGTGCCCCTTTGCCAGATCTACTACATGTATATAGTCTCTTAAACCTAAAATATACAATTACAAGTTTCAGACAGAAACCGTGAAGTAGCACTATAAACGTTAGTAAACAAAATAGTATCATTTTTATTGGACCGTGCGGTTAGCTCAATTGGTACAGCGTTGGACTGTGAATCGGGCAACCTGGGTTCGATTCCGGACGGTGCAGGTCGCTTTCGTTATGACTAATCATAAAAAAACCTATCTACTGTCATTCGCACTGTACCCCTGCTCTTGTATGTACAGAAGTAATCAGAACCTTGCGAAAGTGAAGGCACAAGTAATGGTAACCTGCTTGACAGCTTGCCAATGGTGAATTTAAACCACCACCAGCATCATTCTGGTACTTAGCTAAGCACTAGTTTTTTGTGACCATATCCCTACCCTAGGGATAACAGGAACATTAACTTTTGGATATTCATCAGGAAAAAAATATTTGCAAGGCTTTGCATTCAATTGTACAAAGAGGACAAGGGCTTTAACTCAAGTGGGTTTTTTGTCACATTTTTTTTGCACTATTATCTACAGCTGAATTAACTTATCAGTCTGATATATAAATAGATCGCACAGAATATGTACGGATATAGTCATAGAACTAACCCCTCCCCTTTTTGGTTCTTCTTTCCTAGGCCCTTACAAACTTAACATTGCAGGTAGAAATGTGTTATTCCTTATTACGTACACGTTCCGTCGGGGGTATCCCAATCATTTCCGTAAATCTTGAGCTCCTTCAATTTACCGACGGCGACTTGAGCAACATATGGTAATAGATTCCTTGGAGTACCTAGTGGGTCTTCGCCAATTCTTCCAGACTCGTGTGCTCCTACGGGGTTGAAATATCTGAGAAGTATTATATTCCATTCCTGAAAAATATAGCTAATAAATTGGCTCGTTCACAGATTTTATATGACTATGAAATCAGTCAATATTTTATTACAAGTGCATAAAGGTGTATGACACTTGACAATTTCCAATTAAATGTAATAAATAATAGATCAATTTATACTAATAATAATGATGATGGTGATGATGATGATGATAATGATGATGATGATGATAATACTAATAATAATAATAATAATAATAATAATAATGATAATAATAATTATTAATAATAAAATAATAATAATAATAATAATAATAATAATGATAATAATTATTATCAACATCATCATTATAATCGACATCAACAACATCATCATTACCGTCGTCGTCATTCATTCATTCATTCATTATGATCATCATCGCATCACATTATCACCACCACCACCATCATCATCATCACCATCATCATCATCATCATCATCATCATCATCATCATCATCATCATCATCATCATCAACATCATCCTTCACTATATACATGTACTAACCTTTTCAGCGGTACTAAGGTCTTTCATTATTTCTTCAATCATGAATTTCGATCGGCCATATGGATTAGAACAATTTCCGGTTTTGTGATTCTCATCAAATGGTAAATATTCTGGTACACCGTACACCGTTGTTGAGCTCGAGAAAATCATGTTAAACACTTTGAATTCTTTCATTACCTTGATTGAAACGAAAAGCAAATATACATGTATTAGGAAGGATGGAAAATGGCATTGTTTGACTTAAATTTGAGTTGCACAATATCAAATGTAATACATATGTAATTATATGCATGTAACTGTTTCTCACTTTCATACCACGTGATAGTTGGCAAAAATCTGAATCCGTGATCTCAGACGCCCGGGATCGTTTTAAACATAGCTATAGGAACGAATGAACTGCTTTGGTTTTGATGTTAATCGTAATTTTTGACAATAAGTTATAAAAAATTTATCACATCATCAAACCCGGGTCGCTCGATTCACAGTCTTACGCTCTACCTATTGAGCTAACCGGACGGCTTTATATGCCACTGCTTCCGTACAATATGAAGATATACCACTGATAAGAGTACAATATGGACACACATACCATTGACTGCAGTACCATATTGGAACATAAACCATTGATTTAAGTACTATATTGACACATTATCATATATACAATTGATTTCTTTACAATATTGACACATATACAATTGATTCCTGTACAAAATTGACTCATATACGATTGATTTCTGTACAATATCGACACATATACCATTGATATTGAATAGTACATTTTGACACAAACATATTACACAGCTTCCAGAACAATATTGACACATATGCCACTGATGTTAGTACAATATTGGCATATTTATCACTTATTTATGTACCACAGTACAATATGAACACGTGTACCACTGATGACAGTACTCTCTATAGACAAACATACCGCAAATAGTACAATCGGTATACACATAAACAACAGATTTTAGTGCAATATGGACACATATCCAACTGGTTGTAGGACAATATTGACATATTAACAACTGATTTCAGTAATGAATGAACATATAATCAGTGATGTCTGTACAATATGGAAGTTATTTACCTGTAAAAGATTCACAGTTCCAGCAACATTGTTTTTGTAGTACAATAACGGTTTTTCACAGGACTCTCCCACGGCCTTATAACCAGCGAAATGTATTACACAAGAAATGTTATGCTGAAAAGGTGTTATAATTACTATATGTAATTTTCATCAAGTCAGAGAATCGATCACACTATATATGCCTAAATTATATGTGCATACTCATAAAGCTACATATCTGCTGCTTATAATTGAAAAAAAAACACTAAAAACAGTGTGACTAAAGTTCAGATCTACTTAATTATTTCTTGCATGTATGCGTAGCGTTTATAAGGAGCTGATTTTAATCAGGCGAACAAAAATTGTTTAAATTAATAAAAAGGAATTATTCCAAAATAACCCTATGCAAGAAATATGCATGCAAATTTTCTGAGAAAAAAACGTATGAAGCACGCACAAATTTATTTCTAAATGAATAAAAATCTACTTAAAACATAGCAGCATAATACTTTTTCTGGAATATTATATTTTTTAACGTACAATGTGCGTTCAATAACAGAAACATTCCATGTTACAACACTTTATGAAATAAATAAGAAGTTTATGTAAAAAGCATAATCTTACCGTGATAAATTCTACAAAATATATGTCATAAGATCAAGCATTAGACTTTTTATGTTTAAATTTGGCAAGATCAACATTAAAGCAATGACGTCTTTTGGATAATTACGACCATCGTTGTTATATTTTATAATCCAGAGGTCGACAATGCGACAGTGCGATAGCTCGATGACGACAATGCGACAGATCGATGGCGACAATGCAATAACACGATGACGACAGAACGATCATGTGACAATGCTATTGTGCGATGGCGATAATGCGATAACACGATGGAGACAGTGCGATAATGCGATGGCGACAAAACGATTTGCGATAATACTATTACGTTGTTGCCATTGCGTATCGCACTGTCGCCATCGCACTGTCGCATTATCGCACTATCGTATTTTCGTCATCGCACTGTCGCATTGTCGCCCTCTGTATTTTAAAGTGCATGTATAACCATGATGGCCCTAACGGTATGCCGTAAATAATAGCAACTTCATGAACAGTTTCTCAGAATATTTAGCATAAATAAAACGACAAGATCATTCATCGAAAATGATTTTTGTAGACAAGCAATTCTATCTGTTGAAATAACATCATTTATATATACATACATAATGAAACAGTAACGAGAACTTTCCATTTCAGTTACTGTGCGAGTTGCTTCCCTTCACACTTATGCTAAGAGCAGTGCAATAAACAAGCTGAAAAGCCCACTGTATACATGTACATATATTTTGTTTTAACTTCATGATGGTTTGTTTTAAAAGACAACACAAGTAATATTAACCATGTTAAGAGTGGTTGACAGACTATTGAAATCCAGCTATATTGTTATAACTTGTCATCTTTAAATTTATTATAAATGGCACAGCCTGAGAAACTGTTGGCTGACATTGTTAGCGCAAACCGTGCTGGGGTCGAATATGTTTTTCGTTTAAAAAGCGATTTTGGGCAAATATTTTTTTGTCGTGATCGGGCTTTGGGGATTTCAAACTTTCACAGTTATTTTTAATGTCTCTTTTTAAGCGATGCAAAAGGGGGGGGCCCTTCATTGGGGGTTTTAGCTAAAATTTGTGCGTCACAAGTCTAACAGACATACTTAAGAAAAAGTTCTAAGTTGGAGAAAGAAGAATAATTTCCAAGCAGCTCTACTTGAAAAAAAATATAAACACGGATATTATATTGTCCACAAGTTTATATTGATTGAGATCTCCCTATCTTATATAATTTTTATAAAAAATATTAAAATCTACGATATGAAGATATATACATGTACACAGATGTTACATAAATTAATTACATTATGTAATGTTGCACAACATGACAACACAACAATATATTTTAACATTTAAAACTGTGCGCTCGAAGTCGTAATTTATTACTGCAATCATTAAAGTGTCGTGTACATTCGGCCATCTTCGTCAATCTCCGTAATTTATCTTTTATTGAAAAAACGGTCAAGTTGACATGATTTTTGTTGAGCGTGGCTGGACCAACATTAATTTGATAATCTTATGTGCCTTAGGTTTTTTCATATCTAGATGCGTGCAACTACTCGGATCCCTTCTTCCATCGTGCTTAATTTACAATAACACCTGAACATCAATTTTTGATTTTCACTCTGGGACTTATAATGTGTATTTCTGTCCCAGCATTAATGCTCCCACGAAAAACATATCCGAAAAGAAAGTCTATAACTCTAAACCAAACAATTAAGTATTTATCATTTCTAATTGAAATATTCAAGTATTCCTATGTAGTAAAAACTATGGCATTACCTTTTCAAAAACATTTCTCAGAGCGTCTGCGTTCAGCAAGTCCACTGCATATGACGGGACTTCTTTTCCTGTAAGTTCTTCAACACGTCTCACACTCTCTGTGGTTGTTCAAAACACATGCAAGATCAGGAACATATTTTACAATATTGCTGTTACGTCTATATTATGGAATTGTCAAGATAACATAAGAAATTCATCAATCTTTTCCGTAAATTGGATTTTTCCTGCTTTGAAATTTTGAAACTGTCAATTTTAGAGGTGTTTAAGGATTTTGCCACTATTGTGAAACTTATAATAATAATATTTTGATTGGCAGGCTTATCCTGCTTACATCAGTTAATCAGAACAAACAATCAAATAACAACAAAAAAGTAAACGGTTAGGGGCATGTGGTTTGAAGGTCGTTGACTTCAAACCACTTGCCCCTCACAGCTGTGGGTTCGAATCCCGACAGGGATTTTGGATACTTTCATGTGAGGAAGCTATCCAGCTAGCTTACGGAACGTCGGTGCTTCTACTCAGGTGCCCGTTCGTGCCTGAAATAATGCACGGAAGGGCACCTGAGGTCTTCCTCCACCAGTAAAGCTGGAACGTCGCGATATGACCTATACTGTGTCGATGTGACGTAAAACCCAAATCAAAACAAAAAATTAATGAAACTTTTAAGAAAAATGTATCACGTATTTTTCCGCCATTTTCGTTTACCCATAATATCAGCCAGATTTCCCTTTGAACTGTTTTACTTTTAAAAAAAGATTATAATATAGCACGGAAGGTAGTCGTTAATTGGCTGATTGAAAGATCCGAAAGCGAATGATTATGTTCATCACTTTACTTGGACCAGAAGTGATAATATTCGGAAAATTTGTTTCTAGTATATACAACTTTGAACAAAAATTAAAATCAATAAATTGATTGATTAATTAATTCGTACCCATATTAGCGTTTGCAAGGTTGTCAATCACAATAACTTTGTAGCCAGCTTTCAGCAATTCTACCACTGTATGAGAACCCACATACCCAGCGCCACCTGTCGCTAAGATATAACTTCCGGTGTCGCTTAAAAAAGATGCCATTTTACTTTCAGTTTTAAAAAAAAATTTGACAAATTTATAAATATGGGATCCCCACTGGGTTTTAAAAAGATATAAACCACGCAACTTTCATGTTTTACAGGAAACCCCCCTAAAAGAAAATATTTAGCTTTATTACGGGCCGTGGTGGAAACGGGGTTTAACATCGGGTTTTGGATAGTATTTTTTGGGTAAAACCCGGGGAAACCCCTTTTTTCGTCCTTTTTTTTTTAGTAATATTTTTGTTCCCTGTAAAAAGGGGTTTTTCCACTTTTTTTTTTCAAAAAATTTACGTCATTACTTTTCTAAGATTTTTAAATTTTCGTCTGGAAGGGGTCCCTACGATAATCCTTAACATGATTATGTTGACCTCAACTTCTTCTTTACAAATTACAGCTTCTTATTAAACAATCATGATGAAGTGAGCATGATTCTAAACACAGGCCAATGACTTGGGTAAATATTTTTAAAAAAAATATATTGACAAAAATATATATACATTTATATATAACACAAACAAATAGCATATATAGAAATAAATATTTGCTTTAGTTATTTTTACTTTAAACCAAATGTGTTGATTTTATAAACTATCGTGATGAAAAATAACCTATTTTGGGTATTCCTTTCTACGAAAGCCTAATAGTGTCAAATGAAATAAAAAATAAAAATGCAAAGGCGTTATAACGCGAATAAAGGCATTATTACGCGAATCAAAAGGCGTAAGAACGCGAATAAAGGCGTAGCAACGCGAATCAAAAGGCGTAAGAACGCGAATAAAGGCGTAGCAACGCGAATCAAAAGGCGTAATAACGCGAATAAAGGCGTAGCAACGCGAATAAAGGCGTTATAACGCGAATCAAAAGGCGTAATAACGCGAATAAAGGCGTTATAACGCGAATCAAAAGGCGTAGTAACGCCTTTATTCGCGTTATAACGCGAAACAAAGGCGTTATAACGCGAATAAAGGCGTTATAACGCGAATAAAAAGGCGTAATAACGCGAATAAAGGCGTAATAACGCGAATCAAAAGGCGTAGTAACGCGAATAAAGGCGTAGTAACGCGAACCAAAAGGTGTAATAACGCAAATTAAAACACATTATAATGCCAATTTGATACCATATTTATACTTATCAAATTCGCGAGAAAGGAAGACCAATATTGATCTGAATTTATTGCTCAAGATATAAACTCGTATACAATAATACAATATACATTTACAATAACTTTCATTCTATTTGCACAGGAATTATCCAAACTATTTGTCATAAACTAATAAAGACTCTTTAATATTTGCCAATATAGATGACTTGGTGACTTATAGGTTATAAAGTATTACCTCCTTTCAAATAACAATCCTCCTACGAAGTTTGAATATTGTGGGCCAAATGGAACTTAAGTTATGCTCCCGAAACCAAATTGCTTACGGACGGACGGACAGACAGACAGACGGACGGACGCACGTACGGACGCCAGGGGGTATAACATTATATGCCCGAAATTCTTTCGGGCATATAATAAAACGTACATCTAGATCAATTCATTTAAATCAACATTGTTCTTCCCTCCATACATTAATAGGCCACTGTTTGGAATTTATATGGTATTAAATTAGCGTTATAACGCCTTTTGTTTTGCGTTATTACGCCTTTTGGTTCGCGTTATTACGCCTTTTGATTCGCGTTATAACGCATTTATTCGCGTTAGTACGCCTTTTGATTCGCGTAATTACGCCTATTGTTTCGCGTTATTACGCGAATAAAGGCGTTATTACGCTTTTTCATTTCGCGTTATTACGCCTTTTGGTTCGCGTTACTACGCCTTTGTTCGCGTTATAAATGCCTTTGTTTCGCGTTATAACGCCTTTATTCGCGTTGCTACGCCTTTTTCGCGTAATTACGCCTTTTGATTCGCGTTTATTACGCCTTTTGATTCGCGTTATTACGCCTTTTGATTCGCGTTATAACGCCTTTATTCGCGTTGCTACGCCTTTTTTCGCGTAATTACGCCTTTTGATTTGCGTAATAACGCCTTTATCGCGTTGTTACGCCTTTTTTCGCGTTGCTACGCCTTTCGATTCGCGTTGCTACGCCTTTTGATTCGCGTAACTACGCCTTTATTCGCGTTATAACGCCTTTGTTTCGCGTTATAACGCCTTTATTTGCGTTGCTACGCCTTTTTTCGCGTAATTAAGCCTTTTGATTCGCGTAATTACGCCTTTTGATTCGCGTTATTACGCCTTTTGATTCGCGTTATTACGCCTTTTGATTCGCGTTATTACGCCTTTTGATTCGCGTTATAACGCCTTTATTCGCGTTGCTACGCCTTTCGATTCGCGTTGCTACGCCTTTTGGTTCGCGTTACTACGTCTTTATTCGCGTTATAACGCCTTTGTTTCGCGTTATAACGCCTTTATTCGCGTAATTACGCCTTTTGATTCGCGTAATTACGCATTTTGATTCGCGTAATTACGCCTTTTGATTCGCGTTATTACGCCTTTTGATTCGCGTTACTACGCCTTTATTCGCGTTATTACGCCTTTTGTTTCGCGTTATAACGCCTTTATTGGCGTTGCTACGCCTTTTTTCGCGTAATTACGCCTTTTGATTAGCGTAATTACGCCTTTTGATTCGCGTTACTACGCCTTTATTCGCGTTATAACGCCTTTGCATTTTTATTTTTTATTTCATTTGACACTATTAGGCTTTCGTAAAGTGTTTTTTGCGTTTATTTTTTTCTATTGCACATAAAGTTATAAAGATTACTTACTTTTGCATTGCTTTAGTATCAGATTAAGCGCCAATGTGTACTATACTGGAACTCCAAGCTTTTATCCAAAACTGACTACTTCTTTAGTTTGAAAATATGACTTAATGTATTGTAATAAATTTTCTATCCTTCGAAACAGATGTTTGACGAGAATGTAAATTATAATATGAAACCTGTTTCACTTATAAATCAATATAATATATGTTTCTTACTTTAAACACTTATTATATGTGAATATATAAAATGCGCGATATTTGCATTTAATTAACCCGAATCTATGTGGATAAGATAAGAGTGGTTAAAGATAATCACGTTTTGCAAGAAATGTACACAAACATTTTGTTGCATGGACGTTTTATTCTTGTTTGTTTGTTTGTTTGTTTCACTTTACGCCTTTTCCCAACAGTATTTCAGTCATATAGGCGCTTAGTTTCCTAACCATCGTTCCTGGAGAGTTACACCAGTACTAGACTACCTTCCTACGCGCTAAACTACCAAAGCATCTCCCGGGGATCGAAGCCACGCCAGAGAGGTAACTGGATTAGAAGTCACCGACTCTAACCCCTCGACCACGGAGGCGGACGTTTTATTCTTGAACTGTTCTTTTCAACGCATACGGGTAAAAAGTATAAGCTTGCTTCGTTTTCAATTTGTTGTATATGGTTCACAACTTGCCATTTACAGGCGAAAAGTTGTCTTGCCTTTTAAATTATCACAATACACTCACACGTGCGAATACAATACGAATTAATGATTAAAGGGACGTAACAAATACACGTCTAAAACTATAATTGTGCTTTTCAAGAGTTATCTCTCTTTGATATTCCTCACTGAAAGTTGGCTCTTTTTGTAAGTTGGCTCTTTTAGCACGTTGAAGCATCATATGGTGATCGAAAAAGCGTCAAACTTTCACTCGATAAAGACAAAGGTAAATGAAATAAAAGGTTTAATCGATTTACATTGGGATTTAAAATCATTTCTAATGTAATTTATAAAAAACCCATGTAAATGAGGGATTACACTTTGGGACTGAAAAAAATAATCGTTTTTTTAAATTTTTCTTTTTAATAGCCCGCAAAGGGGCATTCATAAAACCGCAGGGTTTTAAAATCTGTGGTTTTAAAAATTTATTTGTTTTCCCCTACTATGGTTTTTAAACCCGGTTATTTTATTTAGGGGGAAACTTCCCCGAGGGGGTGATTTGAAATAAATCCCGGGGATCGGGGTCGGGGGGGGGGTGGGGGTATTTGGGGTCCCCGGGGGGGAAATGTCATCCTACTTTAAGTAAAAGCTTTTGGGCAATATGACGACTTAAAGCTCAACACGAATACTGATAAATTCAACAGCCAAGGAAAAACAATATTTAAAGATCCTGTATGTTGTAATTAAGGATGTAACAGCATTTAAGTGAAATTTTATATATGCATATAATTATTCTTATAAAACAATTTCCAAACATCCAAGAATATGTTAAATATGTACCGCATTCTAAGTAATCGTTGAAACATAAAATTTGGCTTAGACTTTATAAAAAATAAATTTCTAATTAACAATTTGAGTTACAGGATCTTTAACAAAGAAATTATTTTATTTTAAAGCAAACGTTGTCAGCCGGTACGTTCACTTAATTTATATTTTCTAGCTTCATTAACCATATCTACGTTTCATTGCACATGAAGAAATAAGTCCATTCTTATTGTGAAGAAACGTTCAGACATGTGTTGTCACTTATTCAGACATATCGAAAGCGACCGACCTATTCCAAATATTTTAACCTTACACTTTTTCAATTTCTTAAATGAACGTGTCAAACTTTCAATTTTTGTATTGTCGGGAACATGATAATTATTTTATTCAGCCAACAATTTAGAGCCTGGCTTAACTCCGCGGATCTGTAGGCCGGCCTGGCTTTATGCTGGGGGTCAAAGGTTAAATCAGGTTAAAGGTCAAATATATTCATATAACAAGAACAGACGAAAGTAGAGAAAAATAATTTATTTTCAACTCGTTCCAATATGACATCACACACTGTTCACACATGCATATCTTAATTCTCGTTCGAAAGGGTCAACCTTCATGTAAATATAATAATATATAAACCATCCCAAAAATAATTCGCATATATATATACATCTTTTTTTTATTTAATCCTGTGAAATATAAACTGAACAGTACAGTTTTTGCATATCTTTAAGCAGAAGGAATAAAATTGAATAACCCGCAAGTCTGATTTTAAGTAACCACATAATTAGAAATAGTCATATATATATATTTAAATTTCTATCAACTCGACATGTCTTGAATCCCATTGGAACAGCCGGGGTATCCACCAGGGTTCATTTTCTGCCATCTCCAGATATCTTCGCCTGTAAAAACCCAAAAGATCTATGTAGCTACATCTAATTCATATACAAATGTACATTAAGTTTGTTTGATTAATTTTAAGCCACACCTATACTGTTAATTAAGGTTGTACGGCGATTTTCTAGATTTACTGAAGACCTCAGGTGCCCCTTCGTGCATTATTTCAGGCACCAACGTGGGCCTGAGTAGAACCACTGACCTTCCGTAAGCCAACTGGTTAGCTTCCTAACATGAAAGAGCGGATTCGAAATGCCACGAGGGGCAAGTGGTTATTCCTTCCCATGTTTTTAAATTCGACAAGGATTTTAAACTATTACTGTGACCTTGACCTAATGACCTTAAAATCAATAAGTTATGAGCACAGATCTTACTGAGTTTCACAAAGACTAGACCTATTACCTTTTAAGTTATTATGAGGACTATTATTTTAATACAAAGTGTAAGTATGACCCTGACTTTTGATTTTATGACATAAAAATTGATAGGGTTCTTCTACTGGCCATGACCATCCTTGAAAGCCCATCTTTAGAATAGTTATCAAGTTATTGAGAGGACATCAATGTTGCTAACAGACGGCCGGCCGGCCGGACGGACAAACGCCATACCATAATACGACCGCGGTTCCCTTCGGGTGTATATCAATCAGGTCACCATTAACACCCATATCACATTGGATAGGGTATATTATGAACTTATTCATACTTACACATTTCATCAAGACCCTTGTCTGCTACCCAGCCTAATTCCTTTTTAACAAGGGAAACATCCGACCAGAAAGTTGGCAAGTCGCCAGCTCTTCGTGGAGCAATCTTGTATGGCACCTTAACGGTAAATAAATAAATAAATAAATAAGTTAATAAATAAATAAAATCAAATAAGATTGACAATCATAGTACTCAATGACTTTTATAGTTCATGTAAAATCGAAATCGATAAAATCAGCTATTTTGTATGAAGTGTGCTCAAATGAAAGTGGCGGCCGTAAAAACGATCACTCAGATGCTGCTGAAGTAGTTAAATGAATTGCAACATTTATTTTAAAGACGAATCCGGATACTTTGCCCAAAGTAGGTGGCTATAATCAGGACTGTTTCAAACTTTGACTGAAATGATAAGCAGACTGTACTCTGGTTTTAAAAAACAATATCAACTTCTTTTCCAAAGGTAGTGCTATACTTACGTTCACTCCAGAGGCTTTTTCGAATGCTTTAATCATTTCAAGGACAGAATAAGCTTTCCCGGTTCCGAGGTTATAGATCTGTAAAAAAATGAGAAAGTTTAACTTTATTTTTGTTATGTGCAGTATAATCTTTATAAATGAAAAGTCAATTAAAGGCCCATTATGCCTTAAAATGGTTTAATTTTCATTTCTCAAAAGCTTTTTGTTTTCGGTGTCATATTACAGTTGCCAAAAAGTGGTTCATTGGCTAATTACATGAAATTATATTTTGCTTTTATTGTTTTTCAGCAAATAGTACAGCTTTAGTGACTTAGTATTTTGTATGGAAGTTAAGATACTACTTTATTTACATTTTTCCACTTTTATGACAAAAAATTTTACATTTAGCGCTAATTTCTTGATAACACCTAGCATATGCCATAACTATTATTTAAATGTTATTAAACTCACTGTTGCCCTATCTTAAGAAGGAAAAAACGTATTTGTATCTGAGGAATAATGTGCCTTTAAGTACATTGTGATTTCTCCGGAAAGATTTTGTGAGCATTTTGTTTTCAACTCTAATTTCTTTTTTCTAGACAATGACTTTTTATTTCTTTTCCTTTAAATAACACTTATAAGAAACAAAAGATGAATATTACTTTTAACATAAGTTTTAAGTTTTTGTTAGTACTTTCCGTGCATTATACTAAAATTTAAAAAGCGTTTGCATGACCAGGAATATCAAAACGTCTTAATCAATGTACCGCTTTAAAAAAAAAAAAAAAATTTATACCCGGGAAGAGGCGAAGTTTTCCAAATTAAAAAAAAATCATACCTTTAAGCCCCATTTCTTGTCAATGACAGCCAATGCTGCAACATGACCTTTAGCCAGATCGACAACATGGGTGTAGTCCCTGACACCTTAAAACGAAAAACAGAAGATAAATTAGTTTAAAGAACCGTTTAAGTACGTTATGTGTCTAATCTTTAGATTTTGTATTTCTCGAATTAAACTGCCTTTTTAAAAATTATATTTCGTGTATTTCTGTCAAATCTTGAAAACGTATATACATGTTTGTTGTTGATAATATTCATTTTAATGATGATGATGATGATGATGTTGTTGTTGTTCCTTCCTTCATCTTCTGCTGTTGTTGTTGTTGTTGATGATGGTGATGATGATGATGAATATTATAATCATAACGTCGACGTTGTTGATGATGATGATGATGTTGATGTTGATCATGATGATGATGATTTTGATGTTTATCATGTTTATGATGATGGTGACTGATAATTACAATGATGATGATGATGATAATGATAATGATGATGATGATGATGATGATGAAGATGATGATGACGACGATGATGATAATTATGATAATAATACAATGTCATAATGAAATCAATATCGAGAAGCTTAATGATAACTAGTTATAAATACATTAATTAAGACAACATTTGACTCATCATTTCCATATGTTACAAATTAAATATTCAACAGAAAATTTTGTAGCCATGAATATTTTAATCAATATAGATATATCATATATAATTTCTATCGGTTTCATCATTTTAAAATGAAATATATATTTATATTATTAATATCATTAATTTAATAAAGCAAGTCTCATTCTTACGGCGGCATAAACGGGCATAAAAAAATTAAACTGCATGACAACGTGTGCACGAGAATAGTATTACGTTGCCAAGCGATAGCTATAACGTTTTTTCTGTTGTTGTTGTTTAGTTGTTGTTTTTTTTTTTTTTGGGGGGGGGGGGGGGGGGGGGGGGTTGGGGTTTGGGGGGGGGGTGTTACATGTAATACGTCGCACCAACACAATTTAGTTCATGTGGTTTCAGTCTGTACTGGCGTAGGAAGACCCCAGATGCCCTTCCTCGGAACATTTCAAGGCACGAACGGGCACCTCAGTAGAACCACCGACGTCTCGTAAGCTAGAAGTATATGATCCAAACATGAAAGAATCCAAATTCCCGGCCGGGATTCGAACCCACAGCGGCGAAGGGCGAGTAGTTTGGAGTCAACCACCTTAACCGCTCGACCATAGACGCCCAAAATAGCTATTACGTGGCCACGCGATAGGTGTCACGGTGGTCACGCAATATGAATTACATCTGCAGGTACGCATGCGCCAGTAATAGCTATTGCGGGCGCACACACTTCCGGTGTCCTCTAATCCTCTTCATAAATACCACCGTAGATTCCTGTCAGATACAGTAACATTGCCGCGCGCCAAGTAAGCATGTATATAGGCTTGAAGCAAATGTCCTACTTTATGTGTTAAATATGTTGTAATTTGTTGCTTACCAGTTCCATCCTTCGTGTCAAAGTCATCACCAAAAACACTGACACATTCCAGTTCTTTTGCAGCAACTTTTGATATGTTTGGCATGAGGTTATGGGGTTTTCCGATTGGGCTTTCCCCTAATCTCCCTGATTTATGCGCACCAATGGGATTGAAGTAGCGTAGTAATACAATATTCCATTGCTATGGCGGGAAGAAAATAGAAAATCACATGAGTTAAGATGTAAAAAAGTAGCCCCTGTTGTTTATTTAGTCCATAATTATATTGTTTTGCATTTAAGAACTTGAGACTGTACGTTTATTTTTTTTCCTCACGTATACTCATTCTCGTTTGCTTTTCCTTTTTTATCTGCTAAATTGTAGTCTACAGTTTCTTCCCCTGTAACTATAATTTCTGGGAACCACAGGACAAAATTTCTTCACTTTACTTTTAAAAAGTATCTTTGAAAGTTATACTATACGGAAAAAATATCATCATGGTGTATGAAGAAAAACCATCTAAATCAAATATTGTCAATATCCATGATCAGAGCATAAATTTGAAATTGACCAACTAATATCAAATCATTTATAGACACCTGCTTACTAAATCGGGATATTTCAGCTATTATGCTTCAAAACATTTTACGGAATATTCGCACGGAAATTCCCGAATAGTTACGATTCAAACTTACCGGGGCTGCTGCGAATAAGTCTTTCATCATCTCTTCAATGAAGAATTTAGTTTTCCCGTAAGGGTTCGTACACCCTCCGGTCTTGTGCTTCTCGTCAAAGGGAAGATATTCCGGTTCACCGTATACTGTCGCCGAGCTCGAGAAAATCATATTGTAAACTTTAAATTCGTCCATAACCTGGAGAAAAAGAGCAGAAAATGTCATTTATTCTCGAGAAAACCTATCAATTCTGTGTTGGTTCAGATCATTTTGACATTTTTCTAAAAAAAAAAAAAAAAAAAATTCGAAATTCGAGAACAATTAGCATTTGATATGCATTTTTTGGATCCGGGAAATGAAAACGAGGCTTGACGGAGTACAATAGTGATTTGTAATGGATTTTGGACTCGGAACATGAAGAAGAGGCTATATGGAGTACATTAGTAATTTGGCATGGAATTTTAGACCGCGAAATTGAAAACGAGGCTAAATTGACTGCTTTCACTAATGATTGATATATTGGGAGATCCCATGGTACAAACGCTTGGATTTTAAGATTTTTTTAAGTTTAAACAGCCAAGCGACGTCTGCCTTGTTGCACGTGTGTTGTCGTTGTTGTTTTATTACAAATGTTACAGTCTAACACTGGTGAATGAGCACATGTAAAATACACACCATTCTGTAAGTATAATATTGTATTTTATTCACTAGGTTTCCAATACATTTACGAGTATGCATAAAATAAAAAATAAAAAAAATAAATATCAGGCTGTTGCCACATTAAATTCAATATCGTTTAAAAGCTTGAAATGTATAACAAAACAAACACAAATGAATAAGAATAATAACATACAATGAATAAGAATAATAACATACCTCCAGTAAGTTTATAGTACCGCCAAGGTTATTCCTAAAGTACTGCAGTGGTATATGCACAGACCTACCGACCGCCTTGAAGCCAGCGAAATGCATGACACATGTAATCTTGTGCTGGAAGAATCAACGAAAGCAACCCATTATTCACGAAAAGATCCCAGTTCGCCCAAAATACTTCTTTTCACATAAATGAATAGGAAAATCTTTTTTACAAGGCAGGTTTCGGACTGCTTTGAGTCAAGAAGATCATATTTAAATACTGTTCTCATTTTCATTGTATTCTGAGGATATAATTTATCGAGTGGAGTTGATAGGGATAAAAATATCGGACCAGAAAGACGCATGGATGGTCGGCATTACAGTGGAACACCTATCAACTGCTCGTCTTTACTACTCGGCTATCTTCGTAACAGCTCGTATCTACTCATGCTCACCCAGGCGTTTCTTCAATTTTGATAGATACGGAAATTAACGACAATTACCGACTTTTGAGGATGTATTTCTGCCCTATAGAACTACACTGGTGGAGTTTCATTTACATGCATTTATTTCCCATGTTGACAAACGTACATTAAATAGGATAACGACAGTGTCATTTACGGTCGGTTTACGGCGAAAAGATTCACTACGATTTTTTTACTTGCGCGTTTTTTAAAATAGATAATAAATTCAATTGATCAATTAACCCATTACTTCATGAGCATTTTGTGAAAAATGGCTGTTTTCATTGAAAAGTCTCCCGTTACAAGTTCAAATTGCTATAATACTATAAAAACTGCTTCAACACTAATCAAACTTGGCACAAATGTTGACTGGACCATTGCCCTTGCAACAACATGCTCAGACTGAAATTTTCTGTTACCATGGCAACGAGGGGACATCTCAAAATTGCCAAAAATCACTATTTTGCATTGATTTTTTCCATCAAAATTGATTTCAAAGTGCTGCAACTTCTCAATGGATTGAGATAGAGTCAAATGCTTTTCAGCGTTGGTTACACATTACCTTATGATCAATCTGGGGTCATTTATAGCCTCTCACAAGTCCAAAATTTTCTTGGCGATGAGGGGGACTCCGCCCCCATTCAAAACCCCCAAACAGAAGGGGGCACATCCCCCTTCTGTCGACCCTCTGATGTATCTTTTGGTTGGGGGCCGCGCCGAAAATGAGGTCACTTTTTTAACAACATTTCTCAAACAAAAACAAGTGATGGGGGCCTAAATAAGGCATTTTTTCACCATTTGAGACAGCAAAAGGGGGGGGGGTGAAAAAGGCGTTAAAAGGCGTGTATATAACGTAATGGGTTAAGAGAAATCAGATATCAGCAGAAATGACTAATTAACGAGGAAGAAGAAACCACATTTTTGGATATTGAGATAAAAACATAAAGGAGAGCAAAGGCCTAGTGGTTGTGGTGTCTGCATCTCAACCCGGGCGGTCATGGGTTCGAGCTCTTATCGCGTCACGACCATGTTTCTTCATATCACACCAGTACTGGTTGGTTCAAGGAAGCGGACTCGAATGTCAATAATATAAGTTGCAAGAACTTGCTTCATATTAATATATTTAAACCTAAAATGGCAATGTTTATTTGTATTATATCACCATGATTTCTCTACCACGTTACTAACGGAATGTGAGCTATTTCTGCATGTATATTTCCATGTAAAATATAATTTTCTGTGTATAATAAGAACTTTTTCTTATACAACGTAACAACATTTTTCCACTAATCAGAATTTTTGTTTCAGTTCCAATAAAAATAACATGAATCTGAATGCGTGACACTGTAAACTATCAAAAAGGCAACTATAAACTAAAAATAGAACTTTTTATACTTCTATACGCAGACATCTTACAAACATGTTGATTTTATTTCCTTTTCAATATGATGAATATATTTTGGGCATGGTCGATTTATGTGGGAATGTTAGACCAGTTTTCTAATACAACCCAATTCAGCTCACAGCGGAGGGTGCCGCGGTAAAGTCGGTTTGAATAGGTTTGAATAATGCTGGTTTTCGTTTGATTAAAATTAAATTCATAGTCGGGCTAAGTGTACGTACGTGAACACAGGGCGTTAAATATGAGCTCAAAGGATAAATTAAAATAGATATAAAATTATCTGTTTCTTGTGCCTTCTCAAAAATAAAAAAGATGGTACCTCAATAAACTTTAAGGTAAATCAGAGTGCGACAAAACTTATAGTAGTAAGTCAGAGTAAATCAGAGTGCGACAAAACTTATAGTAATAAGTCAGAGTAAATCAGAGTGCGACAAAACTTAAAGTAGTAAGTCAGAGTAAATCAGAGTGCGACAAAACTTATAGTGATAAGTCAGAGTAAATCAGAGTGCGACAAAACTTATAGTAGTAAGTCAGAGTAAATCAGAGTGCGACAAAACTTATAGTGATAAGTCAGAGTAAATCAGAGTGCGACAAAACTTATAGTAGTAAGTCAGAGTAAATCAGAGTGCGACAAAACTTATAGTAGTAAGTCAGAGTAAATCAGAGTGCGACAAAACTTATAGTAGTAAGTCAGAGTAAATCAGAGTGCGACAAAACTTATAGTGATAAGTCAGAGTAAATCAGAGTGCGACAAAACTTATAGTAGTAAGTCAGAGTAAATCAGAGTGCGACAAAACTTATAGTAATAAGTCAGAGTAAATCAGAGTGCGACAAAACTTATAGTAATAAGTCAGAGTAAATCAGAGTGCGACAAAACTTATAGTAGTAAGTCAGAGTAAATCAGAGTGCGACAAAACTTATAGTAGTAAGTCAGAGTAAATCAGAGTGCGACAAAACTTATAGTTATAAGTCAGAGTAAATCAGAGTGCGACAAAACTTATAGTTATAAGTCAGAGTAAATCAGAGTGCGACAAAACTTATAGTAATAAGTCAGAGTAAATCAGAGTGCGACAAAACTTATAGTAATAAGTCAGAGTAAATCAGAGTGCGACAAACTTATAGTAATAAGTCAGAGTAAATCAGAGTGCGACAAAACTTATAGTAATAAGTCAGAGTAAATCAGAGTGCGACAAAACTTATAGTAATAAGTCAGAGTAAATCAGAGTGCGACAAAACTTATAGTAATAAGTCAGAGTAAATCAGAGTGCGACAAAACTTATAGTAATAAGTCAGAGTAAATCAGAGTGCGACAAAACTTATAGTAGTAAGTCAGAGTAAATCAGAGTGCGACAAAACTTATAGTAATAAGTCAGAGTAAATCAGAGTGCGACAAAACTTATAGTAGTAAGTCAGAGTAAATCAGAGTGCGACAAAACTTATAGTAGTAAGTCAGAGTAATTCAGAGTGCGACAAAACTTATAGTAATAAGTCAGAGTAAATCAGAGTGCGACAAAACTTATAGTAGTAAGTCAGAGTAAATCAGAGTGCGACAAAACTTATAGTAGTAAGTCAGAGTATTTCAGAGTGCGACAAAACTTATAGTAATAAGTCAGAGTAAATCAGAGTGCGACAAAACTTATAGTAATAAGTCAGAGTAAATCAGAGTGCGACAAAACTTATAGTAATAAGTCAGAGTAAATCAGAGTGCGACAAAACTTATAGTAATAAGTCAGAGTAAGTCAGAGTGCGACAAAACTTATAGTAGTAAGTCAGAGTAAATCAGAGTGCGACAAAACTTATAGTAGTAAGTCAGAGTAAATCAGAGTGCGACAAAACTTATAGTAGTAAGTCAGAGTAAATCAGAGTGCGACAAAACTTATAGTGATAAGTCGGGCATCAATATAGCTATCATTTATCCAACTGGACATCTGTATTATATGAGTTGATGATGACTCAATTAGACGGATATATGATTTTACCTTGGAGAAAATCTTCCTTAGGCCTTCTTTGTCAAGAAGATCTATTGTGTATGCTGGAACCTTTACGCCCGTTAATTCTTCAACACGATTCAAACTCTCTGAAATTAAAATGATCATAATAATAATAATAATAATAATAATAATAATAATAACGATAATAATAATAATAATAATAATAATAATAATAATAATAATAATAATAATAATAATAATAATAATAATAATAATACTAATAATAATAATGATAATAATAATAATAATAATAATAATAATAATAATAATAATAATAATAAAAATGATGATGATGATGATGGTGATGATGATGATGATGATGATGATAATAATAATAGATACACAGATTCGAACTTGTACCTACCTAAAGTTGAGTTGGACAGATTATCCACAACCACTGTATCGTAGCCGGCCTCGATCAGCTCCAGCACCGTATGAGAGCCAACATAGCCGGTTCCACCTGTTGCTAATATACATCCTTTAGACGACATATTTCTATGAAAATAAAAAAATAAAACATTAATTAACGAATTTCCCTTTCACCTGCTTGACTTGTGTACTAGAGCTGTCAAAAATCTGATATCCAGTTTATCGATTTTTTCCCATACTTCAAAGCCATATACTAATATTGGAACAACAGCGCAATCGAATAAATGCAATTTATTTTGGATATTTAACTTGATGCTGTCAAATAACGATACAATGTTATGATAAGCCCTAAACGCTTGGTCAGATAAAGCCTTTACCCCAGCTTCAAAAAAGTACCAATATAAGTAAATTTAACATCTAGATTATGTAGGTGAAACCATCTACACTATCACTTTTAACAAAATCAATAAAAAAGTCATTTTGGCATCTAAAGTGGACTTGTATTTGAGTTCATTTATACTCGCCAAGATGCACTAAAATAAATATAGTTCGGAACTAAAAGTTATCAGATCAGTCCATAATGCTGACCATTTCTGAGACAGAATATAAATTTGCATTTTGATAGTTTAAGAAAAATAATGAAATAAAACAACAACAACAACAACAACAACAACATCTACGCCTTTTTTGTTTAACTGGCTTTTTTTTATATATTTATCGATAAATCAGTCGGCACTTTGAAAATACAATCTCATTTAAAGACACATGTTTCAAATGCTATTTGTTTAACATTTTTTACTTCTTCAAAAGATCAAAGGAAATTTTGATTGTCATATATATCTTAAAGCATTGTTTTTAAAATAGACGAAAAGACATATGTTTCTAAATTTTAACACTACAATCAAGAATATACCCATAATTTGATTCGCTATCCTTTGATGTTTGAAGATCAAAGGAATTTTCATACTTATATCAGATGTAAAAATCTAATTTCTATTTCAAGATGCTACCGTGATGAACGTAGTTTCTAGAATTGACTTTTTTACTCCACAGATGTGATTGTTTCCGCGAGAATATATCATTTTCTTATTGTTTTATACACTGACCACTTTTTTCTTTCTGCTATCAAAGTAACAAACTGCTTAAGTTTAAAAGAACACATTTTAGATGTTTTAAACAATTCAAGAATTTCTGAGTGATTCTTTTACATGTTAAGTATTTGTAATTTATGTTACATTCAGCCAAGTTAATAAGTTATTATCATATATTTACAGATCTTAATATATATTTAAAAAATAGTAAGCTTGTTTCACATTTTGACAAACAAATAAAATATTTTTTTCAAAAAGTCAAGTATAAAGCAAATCGTTTTGGTTTTTTTATGCGGAGGGGAAGGGGTGGGGGCTGGGGGCTGGGGCTGGGGGGACAAATAAGATGAATACACCGGTACGTCATTAGACCCAACCCGTTGTGGTCCATTGAGTAGTACTTTAACATATTGAATTGTCCATTTAAAGTCAAGGTCATGTTTAAATGTATTAATGGCATCTAGGTTTTTTGTTGTTTCTTTTTTGGGGAGATTGTGTAGGGGTTTTATTAGTGGCCTCATTTCTTGATGAAGGATTATATAAACATACTTACCCGCATAATTATATCAATCGGGCTGGTCAAATAAAAATACCAAAAAAACCTTTCGGAAGAAACTTTAAATCGAGGTCCCTTGCATAAGTGCTTTAAGAACCAAGAGAAGCGTCTGGAATTGGGGCTCCATTCTGTATCTGTATCTTCCACTATCCTCAAAAATCTAGAATGACTAATACTCTTCTAGAGGACTTGCCTTTGTGGACAACCGGCAGCGAGTATAAATAAACTCATTTAAATTTTCGAGATGTGCATAGCGCATATGGGACGTGCAAAAAATTGAAGGAAGGGGATTTTCCCAAAAATTTTTTTTTTTTTAAATTTAAAAAAGTTCAAAATCGTAATAAATTTTTTAAAAAATTGTCAAAATTTTTTTCCCTCGGGTTTGGTGGTTGGCACATGTCCCCGAAATTTTTTTTGCGTATTAAAAGGGGTTTATTTGGGAACTTAAATTGGAAGGGTTTTTCAAATTTTTTGGCCATGTTTTAAAACATAGGTCCCTAAGAGACATAAAAATAAATTTTTATGGAAACGGCCCGTTGGGAAAAAAGGGGGTTTATGCCGAGTTTAAATTTAATTTTTTTTGTGATTTTTTAAAATTGGGGCAAAAAATTTTAATTTAATTTATAAATTTTTAAAAAAGATAAAAAAATGCTTTGCAAAAAGGGCCTTTGAAAAAAGAAATTGGGAATTTAAACCTGGGGAAAATTTTTTCCAAAGCTCCAAAAAAAAAGGGCAAAATTTAAAAATTCAAAACGGTTTTACAGAAAAGCCCCAAAAAATATTGGAAAAACATAAAAGGCAAAATTCCACGGGCCCTTCCAAAATTCTGGGAATTTGGTTTCTAGGGGGTCCCCCGGGCCCCAAGCTTTTGCCTTTCTTAAAATTTTTGAACTACATGTACAATTTTCCCAATGGTTACATAATATTGCAAGTTTGTACAAGTATTTAAAAAAATTAAGGATGGGGGGGATTTTTAGAAAATTGCATCAATAAATAAATGGATTCTTTTGAAATAATCAGATAAACCTTCCACTACTATTTTTCAAATACCTTAAAGAGATAATTATTTGTGAAAAATACACCGATTTTTTACTTTTGACGATAATGAATATGCATAATTATGGACACAAATTCAATATATGCAGTTCACTTTTAAAAAGATCTAAAGTAAAGTGTTGAAAAAATATGCAAATCATGAACAAGTCAATAAAGTGTAGACTATTGTAAAAAGAGCTCCCGCTGTGACCAGAATGTTTTATACAACATAGATTTAAAGCAACTCCCTTAAATATGAAATTGAAAATAATAAAATTTTCAACATGTTCATTTTCGATCTGTAATAGTATATATCCAAGTTTAACAAAGACGGGCAGATAACTCTTACATTTCTGTGATGAATGACTCGGGGTATTATAATAAGGTTTCTGAAGAAGCATAATATGATTTTTGTGAAGAAAATTTGAAGTAATAACTTTGTTTAAAAATTAAAGCCAAATTTTTTTGGAACAAAATTGCCCGAAAATAAAAACCCCAAAAAGAAATTTTTCCCCCAAAGGGAAAGCAAAAACGTTTTTTTTTTAAAATTAACATTTGCGGGGGTTTGCAACGGTCGCTTTTGATTCGGATAAACATTTTTTGTCCCCTTCGCTAAAATTTATTTTGAAACAACCCTCCCCAACAAAGGTTCCCTTTGGTTTCGTTAAAGTGCCCCTTTCTTCTTTTAAAAAAATCAAAAAAATAAAAAATTTTCCCGTTTTTTGAAAAATTTAAACAAATAGGTTTAAAACCTTATAAATACTATTTTAAATTAAAAACTACGCTAAAATTTTTTTAAATTTTGTCTTGTCCATTTTTCAATCGGGAACAAAAACATTCGTCATTTTCTTTAGTTTTTCTTTTTCAAAAAAAATTTATTATATTTTTAAACTAGCAAAAAAATAAAAGACCAGAACGACAGAAAACGGAAGTCCCCGGCCCCTGATCTTGGTCTGCACGGGCCCCGCTAAGAAAGGAATTTTGTACCCCCCAGGGGGGCTAAAACAGCCATTTTTTAAAAAAAATCAATAAAATAGTAAAATTTGTTTTTTCAAAAAAAATAGAAAAAATGTCCCTTTTAATAAAAATTAAATATAAAAATTAAAAACAAAACTGTTTAGCATCTTGAAAACGCCTGCTTTTCCCCGGAAAATTAAATGCAGCCCTTTTAATTAAGGAATATTTTGTTTTAGAAAAGAAATAAGATTTTTCTTTAATTAACGGTAAAACAATGTTGATGTTTGTAATGTGGTTTGAGAGTTAACAAGTATATTCTGCACTTATATTGGCTTGCTACAACATTAGGCTGTTACAATATTGACCTGTTCAACATAGACCTACTACAACACTGGCCTGCTACAACATTGACATGCTACAACGTTGACCTGCTACAACATTTACCTGCTACAATATCGGCCCGCTAGAACACTGGCCTGATCCAACATTGACCCTACAACATTTGCTTGCTACAAAATTGGCCGGCTACAATATTGACCTGTTCAAAGATTGACCTACTACAACATTGACCTGCTTCAACATTGGCATGCTCCACATTTAGACTGTTCTAAAATTGACCTACTACAACATTCACCAACTACAACATTGTCATGCTCCAACATTGACCTGTTCTATTATTGATTCGCTACAATAGAGGCCTGCTACAGAAGTGTCTTGCTACAACATTGACCTGCTTTTACATTGCATTGCTACAACATAAAGCTTCTGGAACATTTGCCTCCTGCAACAATGACAATCTACAACATTGACCTCCTACAACATTGACCCGTTACAGCAGTGGCCTGCTACAACAGTGGCTGGCTATAACAGTAGCTTGCTAGTACATAAGCCTGTTGCAACATAAGTCTGCTCCAATATTAACCTGCTACAACATTGACCTGCTACAATTTTGACCTGCTACAACATTGATCTGCTACAACACTGGCCTGCTACAACATTGACCTGCTACAACATTGACCTGCTAAAATATTGACCTGCTACAACATTGACCTGCTACAACATTGATCTGCTACAACACTGACCTGCTACAACATTGACCTGCTACAATATTGACCTGCTACAACGTTGACCTGATACAACATTGACCTGCTACAACATTTGACCTGCTACAACACTGGTATGCTACAACACTGAACTGCTACAACATTGACCTGCTACAACATTGACCTGCTACAACACTGGCCTGCTACAACATTGACCTGCTACAACATTGACCTGCTTCAACACTGGCCTGCTACAACATTGACCTGCTACAACATTGACATGCTACAGCATTGAGCTGATACAACATTGACCTGCTACAATTTTGACCTGCTACAACATTGATCTGCTTCAACACTGGCCTGCTACAACATCGACCTGCTACAAACATTGACCTGCTACAATATTGACCTGCTACAACGTTGACCTGATACAACATTGACCTGCTACAACATTGACCTGCTACAACACTGGTATGCTACAACACTGAACTGCTACAACATTGACCTGCTACAACATTGACCTGCTTCAACACTGGCCTGCTACAACATTGACCTGCTACAACATTGACCTGCTTCAACACTGGCCTGCTACAACATTGACCTGCTACAACATTGACATGCTACAGCATTGAGCTGATACAACATTGACCTGCTTCAACATTGACCTGCTACAACATTGACCTGCTACAATATTGGCATGCTACAACATTGACCTGCTACAACACTGGTATGCTACAACACTGAACTGCTACAACATTGACCTGCTACAACATTGACCTGCTTAAACACTGGCCTGCTACAACATTGACCTGCTTCAACACTGGCCTGCTACAACATTGACCTGCTACAACATTGACCTGCTACAGCATTGAGCTGATACAACACTGACCTGACACAACACTGACCTGCTACAACATTGACCTGCTACAATATTGGCATGCTACAACACTGACCTGCTACAACATTGACCTGCTACAACATTGACCTGCTACAATATTGACCTGCCACAATATTGACCTGCTACAACACTGGCCTGCTACAATATGACCTGCTACAACATTGACCTGCTACAACATTGACCTGCTACAACACTGGCCTGCTACAATATGACCTGCTACGACAATGTCCTGCTGCAACATTGGCCAGCTACAACACTGACCTGTTACAACATTGACCTGTTACAAAGTTGACCTGTAAAACATTAGACTCCAGCAACATTGGCCTGCTTCAAAATGAGCCTGTTACATTCATTGCTTAGTACTGGTTGGTTCCGGGAACGGATTCGAGAGTGTTTCAATAAGCTTATAGCTTCCAACACAATCGAACTAAAATAAATTTGTATAAACTAACATGAGCCTGTTACAACATTGACCTGTAACAAAGTTGACCTGTTACAATATTGGCTCCTCCAACATTGGATTGCTCCAGCATTGGCTTGCTCAAGCATTGACAAGCTACATTAGCCAGTTCCAACACTAGCATGTTACAAAATTGCCACACATACCACACATTTATACAAATGGGGTGTTTTATTGAGGTATATATGCGAATTTGTAAACAAAAAAAAAGAAGATTTTTAGGTACCTAAGTTATGTTTGTTTCATACCTTTCTGTAGAAAATTTTTTAGATGGAATTACTGGTAAAATATCTACAAATAATATCTACATAATAACATAACTTGTCACAAATTACAGTCAAGAGACAGAATCTATATGTTGATAACTTTTTCCTAGTGTGCACAACTGTGCTTTTGTCTAGTTTATTTAGGGTCGAGTTGGTTTAGGGCCGAATAAATGGTCGAGTTAGTTAAAGGCCGGGTTGGATTGGAGCCGATGAGATTATCCTATATATGAAAACTGAGCTGCATTCAATTTTGACAGCATGAATTACAAAATCTTAGAAGGAAATTGATATGTCATTCATGAAAATTGTTAGACATCCTTAATACTGCATTTTGTGATACTTATTAAAAATTGGAAAAAAAAAGAAAAAAAAAAGAAAAAAAAAAACCAATGTATGGTTCACCTAATCATTAAGTTCTTTGATTGTTGTTTGCATGTATAGGTACTGTCATTTTATTACATATTTTCTGCACATCTTGCCTTAGAAGACAATGAAAAATTCCCATCTTTAGAAAGGCCAAATATGAATTTTATAATGTCAAAATAATGGTTTAAGAGAATTTTAGATGCTTATTACATGAAGAAAGTATAGATAATTAATTTGATATAAAAGTAGAAAAAAATGTTAACAAAGTAGTATTTTGACTTCCACAAAAATGCTAAACCACTATAACTCTACTAACTGTCAAAGAAACAACAGAAACTTAAGATAGTTCAGGTAATTGGCCAATGAGTAACTTTTTGGATACTATAAAAATACACCAAAATTAAAGGTTTTTTTGTTGTTTTTTTTTGAGAAATAAAAAAAAAGCATTTCTGAGGCATGATGGGCCTTTAAAATAGTTTTTGTGTGAAAACGTCATGTATGATGCACTGAACAAATTAATTCAATTAGATTAGATTTGAAATATATACTTTGAAAAGGAATGAGAAATATAATCCTCATTCATTTGAATGAGACACGCTGTGAAATTATCAATTTAACTTTATTACTTATAGCGCAAATACATATGAAGTTTTTATGCTATTTTTACTGTTTTTGTTCATGAAAATTTTTTTCACTTGATAATAATAATAATGATAATAATAATAATGATAATCAAAAATTAATAATTTTGTATTAATGATGAAGATGATGATGACGATAATGATGATAATGAGGATGTGAGGCCGACGACGGCGAGGACGATGATTAAATGACAAAAATAATGATAACAAAATAAGTGATTGTTGTGGTTGTTGTTATAATAATAATAATTATTATTATTAACATTATCTTTTATTTTAATTGAAAGCATTTTATTATTGTCATTAATGTGTGTCGACTCCAATCAAGGATTAAAGAGGCATATCCATTTATATTAAAAAAAAATCAGTTATTAATTTAAAAACTTTAATAACTAAAACATAAGTATGATAAAGTATGCCCTCTATAAAAAGGGCACGCATTTTTATCAGTCGCTTTGTTGTTTAAAAAAAAATAACTCATGATTAAAAAAGAAACGTACCTTTATTATTTTATTATTATATCCACGATGAATCCAAACTTCCCTTGGCGAATATATTATAGAAAGAGATAGCTAAACGTTTCACAATTGATCACGTGACTTTACACGACAGCAAAAGGCGGCAACAGATTGAAGGGTTAAATTATGATAAAGGAATGAAATATGAAAGTGTAATTTTTTTTCAACAAACGCAGATCGGAAAAATCACCGTAATACGTGAGCGTATTTCATACAAACACTATACCTCTGTATAAATTATATATTAGGCCAGCTTTAAAAAAATATTTGTTTTCAGTTACACCCCTAAAAGAAGCTCAGTTTTATTTCTGGCATTTCAAAGGACTAAACTTAGTTCTTATGAAGTGAATTTTTATGGCAATTAACTGGAAAAAAATATGTCCTTTGAAATGCCAGAAATAAAACTGAGCTTCTTTTAGGGGTGTAATCTACTGTTATTGTCAATTATAAATATATAAAAGTTTGACCAAAAAATATCTCGGTTAGTTTACACATATGCATTTTATAAATAAACAGTGTCGATAAGTCCTAAAAAATAAAACATTGCTAGTGGAATTAGCCATTATATGTTGCATATACCGCTATGTTACACAAAACTTTACAAACACCGTTTTGGTGAGATTTTCACAATTAGTAGAGGATTTGTGCGACCGTGCGTGTGTGCGCACGTGCGTGCGTGTTTGTTCATAAAACAAAATATTAACTGAAGTGGGTATATATGGATATCTATCTTATCATCACCAAGTGGCAACGTGGCTCCATGAGTGGCGGAGTTGCACAATGAGTGGCGGCATTGCCGAGTGGTTAACGCGTGGGTTCAAACCTTGTCAGGGGTTTCGTGAGCAAGAAACTTTACACTCATTGCTTAGTATTGGTTGGTTCCATGAACGGTTTCGAGATTGTTTCAATAAGCTTATAGCTTTCAACACAACTGAACTGAAATATAGATAAGTATTAACTAAACTACTTATCTCCGATGTGAGATATATTTTACATCCTTATATGGTTCCACGAAAAACAAACACATTTTTATATACCTATTAACACATGTTCATATTACAATATACTATGCATATTTATGATCACCTCATTGTATTTTCCATTGCTATGTCATGTTTGTTGTATTATGTCGTATTTTGGGCCGGAGGCCTATGTTTCAAGAAATAAACTTACTTACTAACAAAATAAGAAGATGAAAATAAAATTTTTGCAACATCTTTATTGAAATGGGCGTGCGGGGGATTGGAGGGGGAGACAGGAGAAGCACGTAAGAGTAAAGCAATTTGCAGTAGTTGTTCAACGGGTACACATAAAATATATTTAAATTTAAGTGTATTTTCTATCACTGATAAAACTCAGTATTTCACTTACTAGCATAAGATATAGCAATTAGAGGTTAGACAGTATTTTTCAGTGAGGTTTGCACAATAATATAAACGCCACAATTATCCAATGAAAACGTGAAAATCGTTGAATTTTTTTTTAATGTATTTCGCGGTAATCGATTAAGCTGTAATGTTTTTGCTGTATGTGTAGGTACTCAAACAACAACATAAGATGATTTTTAAATCTCATTTAAGGGTACAGTAGTGCACTGTAAATCCGCACAGATAATAATTTCACTTCAGAAGAACTATTATGCAGTATATCCGGCAGATTATTGTAAGCTCTTTTGCAACAAGCAACAACCTCGGTGCCTATTTTGATATCATGCAAAAGGTCTGCATTTCCTTTAAATGTCCATCATGATATTCACATACAAAATGAGTGGCTATATCGAGTCCATGATCTTAACCCATCCACGTTGCATAAACTTGTATTTGGTAATATGCGGGATCCGAAGTCTTTTGCAACCTAAATATAAATTGGATATTGTTTTATACGGTCATTTCAAATTATAATAACGGTAAAATTGGACAACGGATAGTCTCATCAGACTGTACTGGGCTGATTTAAAAAGCTGAATAAAAAACATATATTAATGAATGATTAGGGACATTCAGGTGAAAATAAGGGTTCCACTGTGCACATTAAAACAAATTTAAAAAAACAAAACACACACAAAAGAAAGAGATACACAAGATTACTTATATTGATAGCATTAGTTTATATTATTGTATATTGTAATGGCTAGAAAAAGTGTGCATCCTGTAACTAAGGCAGCTCTCCGCCAGATTTGTGTAACCTTGCCGGTCAAAAATAGTGTTAAATGTAAAATAAAGTGATTTGGCCTAAGCTATCAATAGTTCTAAGAAACTCATTTATTACTCAAGCATTTGAGTGGATTTTTTTTATTGAAAATGATATTCAACCACGCATCAAACATGCGAAATATAAAACTGATTTTAGCGGGGGGGGGGGGGGTTATTCACATTTTTTTTTTCATTTCTCATACTAATTCTATATTTACCTCCCTTTTCTTAATTCTTAATGTTCAATCATACAGAGATGTACAACTTTTAAAGACAGGTTATCTTATAAAGAAATGATATGTATGTATCTGTTATGTATCGCGACATTTGTGATGTTAAAAGTCCACATGCGCAGTAAACAAATAGTGGTTTATTACGCGCACGCGAGCGTTAGAACGTCATAAATGCCACGTACTGTCATAGTAACTTGCATATCATTAATCATAATGTGCTAAAGCTATTACATGGCTTGTCGCCGACATAAAGTGGTTTCATTAATTTGATGACCTGTAAAGGTCACACTTCTTTTTTTTCTTTTCTTTTTTTGTATCTTACTAAACAAATGACCAAAGAATATTATGGTCAGCGTGCTATTTTTTGTCTTTACTTTATCTACAACTGAATAATAAGGTTATTTCAATTCATATTTTAAAAAATTGAAACGGTCTCACACGTAACGCAAAGGCACATTTGTTACATAAAGAAAACCTGTTAGCAAACAAAATTGGCTAATATAAATAAAACACAGAACCTGTTGAAAATAAACATGAAACTATAACCTAAAGTACGGGAACTAAAGAGATTCAAATGTAACTATAATTTTATAGTAAAACTTGTTACACTTTCAAAACTCACACGTTTGATTTACAACATAAAATGATCGCATAAAATATCAACAGAAAGATTTATTCAACAGAAAGGCCCTTGGCTAATAAAGTTTTCTGAATGAAAATGTTTGAACGTAACGGTTCAATGTTGTAAAACATACTTTATTATTTTGCTTTATGATAAATAATATTACTGGCTATCTTTTTGTTACTGAAAAAAGTTCTATATTTGGGAATTGATGAGACTTAAGATTTCCCAAATTCGGCGTCGTGTGTTTGATTACCGTGTTTATTCAAAATATCGCGTTTAAGTTCAAGGTACTTAAAAATGTTCATTGATTTAAAGAACTAGTAAGATATTATCATCAAATAGTAGACTCAAAGTACCACTTAATTTTATGAATGAAAATATATTTATTTACATGTAGTATATTCACTTATGCTGCTGTAATTTACTACTTAAAGCAAAGTGTCTCTATATACATGCTAATTCTCATTTAAAAACAACAACAACAAAAACAAAGAAACAAAAAAAATCAAAAAGCTTAACAAACAAGTAAACAAAACAAATAATATTGGTTAGTCTTTAACATTTCTAATCAATTTACAATTATAATAATAATAATAATAATAATAATAATAATAATAATAATAATAATAATAATAATAGTAATAATAATAATGATAATAATAATAATAATAATAATTTTAAAGGACAGTAGGATAGTACTTTTCAAAAAATAGAAAATTCAATTAAATCCACCAATAACATGCAAAATTCCAGAGATATTTGGACAATATATACATTGCTAAATTGTTTTGAAGTTTAATATTTTAATAATTTGTTTACTCATAAGTAGATATGTAGCTTTATAAATGTTACATGGTAATTCAATACCGCTTCTTAATATAAATTACTAATGTATCACAAATAAAGAAAGGTAACTATTTCGGTCATAAATTTTACCGAACTATTGTCCCCCTTGAATATGTTCTAATATTTAAACTTCCTGTTTACATACAGATAAACTTTACAACAATCAGGAAAATGTAAGCTTATATTAAATTTGTTTGAAGCAGCAACAATTCACGGATATAACTTACTATCGTAATAGTTCACGTTGTCAAACTTGACAAAAATTTTTTATATCATAATTCAAAATTTAAGAGGATTTTCATTGCTTTGTGGTATGAATATGGATTTTCATAAACACAAAATGGAGGTATCAGGTCGTAAGGAATGCGACGATAAACATTCAACATCTAACCAAGGGAGACAACTTACAGTTTTTTGCCAGCCTTGTGAGTGTGACGGTGACACAGTAGAAGCGGAGGCATTCTGTGAAACTTGTAACGAGTTCATCTGTTCTCCATGTTTAAAGGCTCATCGAAAATTAGCTATAAGTAAAAATCACGTGATCAAGTCGAAGGATGAAATGCCAAAATCAAGGAAAAAGCAAGACGATCCATGTACGGAGTTGTGTTCAATCCATCATACTGAAATTATAAAGTTTTATTGTGAAGACCACAATTCTGTAGGATGCGGAGATTGTATGGTCCTTAGCCACAAAACGTGTTCTGTTAAACTCGTCAATGATGTCTCCGACAGCTACGATACCAGCGAGGAACTCGTGCAAATCAGGAAAAAGATGGAAACCCTTCTGAGTAGAATTTCATCTTACCAAGGTGATATTGTAGAAGGCATAAAGGCTACTGATGAAATGAGAGAAAAAATTAGGAAAGAAGTTCATATTTTCCGTCAAGAGATAAACGAATATTTGGATAATGCTGAGGCAGATCTGCTGAAACGAATAGATCAGCTGACATCGAAACAAGTGTCTCAGCTTGGGCACATGCAAAACGAATTTGAGTCTATGAAAACTGAGATGAGAAAATGTCAAGATGAAATAAGTAAAAATACAGACAAGATAAATCAATTGTTTGTATAGCAAAACTTGCTCATGAAAAGATTGAAGCCTGCCAGATTTCAACAGTGGAACTAGCATCTAAATGTGAGATTGAAATATTTGATTTTGTAAAGTCTCAAGAGTTAGAAAAAGTTGTAAAAGGTAACATTGCCATTGGTGTAATTAATGAACAAAAGCGGAAATTACGTACACACAGCAAAAAGAGCCTCAAAGATATTCAAACGACGCTGTTAAAAAGTCTTAATGTCAGGTCAGTAAAGGACCCAAAGCAATGCTTCATATCAGGAATGGCATTGATTTCATTTGATGAACTCTTGCTTGTTGATTTTCATAATCATTGTCTTAAACTTTTAAACGTAGACAAGAATAAGATAACCTTTAGATTAGAAACAGATGGTCCACCATGGGACGTAACTGATATCAATTCGATATTATTCGCAGTAACTTTAGTATCAACAGGTGAAATACTATTCATAAATACATCAAATGGAATTTTTAAAAGTCACAGTATAAAGGTCAGAGGGGACTGTAGAGGAATCGACTACCGTGACGGAGTTTTTGTTGTATCGTTTGTTAATCCAGGATGCGTTCAGCTACTTGACATACAAGGGAACATAATGAAAAAGTTTGATATCGGGAAACATTGTCCACATCCTTATTATATTTCCCTATGTAACGACAACAACAAAAGCTACATTGTGTCTGATTACTATGAAAATGCTCTTGTTGAGTTTACTGTTGATGGGAAAGTTAAGGATAAAATAACGAGCAATGATATAAAATCACCAAGACAACTTGTTATGACACATGATGGGGCGGTTATTGTTTGTTGTAAAGGTATCAGTGATAAACTAATCATGGTTACACCAAATACAAGAAAGGTACTTCCTATTGCTGTGAAAGGTGTCCAGTGTCCCTTTTGTTTTGCGGTTTCTGATGATCAGACGAGGATGTTTATATATGACGGGTCAAAATGTGATATCAAAGTATTTGATATCAATTAAGTATTTGATACCAATTGACATGTATTGGAGGCATAACTTAGATGTGCGTTTATTACGTATTATCGAACACTGATTGTATATGTAGGTCTTTTATTTATTTAACAAAACTATCTTAAGTTTGACATATTTTTGGTTTGTCTCTCTCAAATAATAAGATAAGTATCTATGTAAGGAGAAGTTAAAGGCACATTATGCCTCAGAATCGAATAAATATTTCCTTCAAATTTTTCAAATAATTGTTTTAGATTATGTTACATGTTTTGTTACCTGAAGAAAGACACAATAAATGTGAAGTTATTTTGGCATTAAAGTCGCAAACTATAAAAAGTACTATTTTGACTTCCATATAAAATACTTAGTCACTGTATTTTATTAATTGCAATAAAAATAATCAGCATGAAAATATTGTTCAGGTAATAGCCCAAATGAATAAGCTTTTGGGAACTATCAAGGTACACCAAAATTAAAAGCTTTTGAGAAATAAAAATGAAAATATTTCTGGGGATAATGGACCTTTAAGTTTAATTTAAGATTTTACAAATACTATGTACCATATCTTATCTAATTTTTAATAATCTAGAATTATTGTTGTAATCATTGCATCCTGCACAACAGTTGTATCATTTAAATGAATATTATTATTATTATTATACTTGAAGCATTACAATTTTTCTATCTAGAAACAGACGCTCAGATGCTTAGATGTCGTATCAATCACTGGTTCAAAACAACTCCATCTATATATTAAAATGACTTTTTATTTGTTAAAAATATCTTGTTACCCCTTTAATACATGCAAACACATAGCATTTTATCTTCAACATAATGAACAATGTAGAATTTCCCTTACAAAAGCAAATATCTGCAAATATGTGTATAAAATATGTACATTTACTATCTGTGTACATGCTGGTAGCTAGATAGGAAATATATGTTTTACATATACAGCATGAAATGTACATATTGTGAACCATTTTAAAAAGTACCCAGGAGAAAACCAGTTCACATAAAAAACTCATACTGATTGGTCATTTTGGAAGTAGTTTTTAACGCGGAACTGAGAATTGAGAACTGAATAAATGTCTTTACACAACACTTAATATTTACTGCGTACATTAAAAATACAGAACAGTTGTTTTAGGCCTAAGCTTCTGTGACGACTTTTCCAAATCCGATGAATGATGAAGGGGTGTTAACTTTTTACATACAAAACAGTAACATATATACGGTTCTATGGTACTCTTATTTAGACTAATGATAGCTATATAATAAAATTAGGGAAATAACACAAAATGAGCAAATATCTGTATTTCTAAGACTGTTTGGCTTTGTTTTAGTATGCTATATCATGTTATGCAAATGACTACAATGAAATGCTGTGTATTTCTACCATTTATTGTATCGAGCTATGATATGATAAGGTAATAAATGATACAATGAAAATAAATGACGTATAATACAACAGCAGTTGTAAAACGCTAACTGGCAGCTTTAAAATGTTGATCCGAACAATATCCCAGGGAGATTACAGGACATTTCGGTGTTGAGGATTGCGTACCGCTTAAGCATGTGCTAGAGGACGTGAGCGAAATTGCATATTCCATCAGACTTAAACTTTTTGCTATCTGTTGATGATGCTTTTGTTGGTTTTTTGCTTTGTTTGTTTTGTTGTTTGTTTTTTCATTGCTCTCGCGTCTAGATTTATTATCTAATATTTGTTTTCTGTGCACTTATTATTACTTACGCAACATGTTTTCGTGCTTAACCGTCGAACGGTTAGCTATATTATGTGATGTTATATAAAAAATAAACGTTTTTAAAAGTTTCAAAATTTTAACTTACTCTTATTCATAGAAGGATGACTTTAATTTCATTTAAATTTTCATGTATACGAAAATTTGCTGGCAATGAAAAAATTTGAATAATGATACAAACAGCAATACATATAACGATTATCATGGTCAATATTTTATTATTGATCAATAGACAATTATTCATTTTATTCATTAACATTAGAAAAACACTGGTTATTATTGAATGCTACTAAGTAAATATAACAAATTTTTATGTAAATGTTGAAATATCGATGTTCTCAGCTGCATAACGTCATATAATTAACAAAAGTTAGATTATATATTTGTATCATTGGGCCAATATCTGGAAAAAAAGTGATTACTCGGAAGCATTAAAAAGCAAGGTTTCATGATAATTGCAGACTCGGTCTGATTGAGGAGTCTGTACATGATGGCTTATGAAAATATGCAACATCTCTCACGCCCCCTAGCACCGGCTTTAGCGGTACTCAATTCGTTACACTTAAAAGTGCTGGACGCAATGATCCGTAAGGACCAGAAAAATATAACAACACTAAAGTGAAGAACGGGGCAACTTATTACGTCTGTCACACAGCACAGCACATGACACCTTTTGTTTTGATGTATAAATATTTGGAAAAAGTGATCCCTTGGAAGCATTAAAAACAGCAAAGTTCCATGAAAAATGCAGACTCGGTTTGATTGGGTCTGTACAGGAGGGATAATGAAAATAGGCAACATCCCGCACGCCCCTAGGGTTTTATCCATACTCAATTCTCAACACCTTAAAATGCTTGACTCAATGATCCCGAAGTACCAGAGAAATATAACAACACTGATCGAAGTGAAGAACGGGGCAACTTTTCACGGCTGCCACACAACACTTGAGATGTATAAATATCTGTGAAAAACAGCATTCAAACCTACAAATCGTGCACATTTTATTTTTCTGTCTTACCTTGTTTTATGTTAATATAGTGTTTATACTACGTGTTAGAAAAAATGATTCAGACGTAAGGTTATAGGAAAACGATTTCCAACGTTTTAAAAGCAATCGTTACAAATTCTAACAGTATAAGATATTGTACCACAAGTTAAGATAGAAAAAAGTCGACAAACACCGCTATGTTACTCCTTGATATAAAATGGGAACCTACTGAAATATCAATCTCCTTTTCCGCGAATCTCAGAACAAATACACCAAACACAATAGTATGAACAATTATAATATAGTAGAATGAAATAATTATTTTCTACAAAGCATAAAATAGATCCAATACATTACTTTTTTCTGTAATTTAAGAACAATTTCAATAAAAAAAAAAGTTACATAAGTCTATAACAAAGAATGTTTATTACAAGTGTTATTGTTGCAGTGTATATAAACACAAATGAATAAGAAGTTTAGATTCAGCATGACTGGAACCGTAAAAGCTTAATTATATCTGTCATATGTTGCGGTTCGGACCGGAATATCCGTCCCGATGGGACAACCCCATTAGGCAGTAACAAGGCTTGTCATGGGCGGGTTCCCGAGGGACGGATATTCCGATCCGAACCACAAACATATGCAGATATCTTTTCTTGCATATTCTGAAATATCATTTCATATTTAAAATGGTTTACCTAAATTTGATATATGTTCATGGAAATTAAAGTCATTTCATCTATAACTATTTTCTTACAATAGGGTATGAACTTACAACTTAAATAACAATGGCGAAATGACGTCATCCTAAGTACATATTTCCCTTCTAAAACTACGTCATTTTAACGCGGTTCATTCATAAAGTGCGCTAAAATGACGTTGTTGTTTGGCACGAGACTCATCTGGCACCTCTATGCCAGTTGAAATTTCCGGCATGGGTAAAACTCACTAAAACGCCAGTCTGCTATGAAAGAATAATCGGTACTACACCTGGAAATATATACTTTTTCAACAACATAATCCATCCCATATAATTGCTATAAAATAATTGCTATAAAATTTGGTATGCAATAAATTATATTCGTTATCAGATATCTGTTGAATGTATTTTAAAACTTAAACAATTACAAAGAGCAATCATTATTACGTGTATACGTGTATGTATAGCTGTAGTGTCCTAGTGGTTAATGTAGCCACTTAACCCATTACTTCATGAGCATTTTGTGAAAAATGGCTGTTTTCATTGAAAAGTATCCCGTTACAAGTTCAAATTGCTATAATACTATAAAAACTGCTTCAACACTAATCAAACTTGGCACAAATGTTGACTGGACCATTGTCCTTGCAACAACATGCTCAGGCTTAAATTTTCTGTTACCATGGCAACGAGGGGACATTTTAAAATTGCCAAAAATCACTATTTTGCCTCGATTTTTTCCATCATAATTGATTTCAAAGTGCTGCAACTTCTCAATGGATTGAGATAGAGTCAAACGCTTTTCAGCGTTGGTTACACGTTACCTTATGATCAATCTGGGGTCATTTATAGCCTCTCACAAGTCCAAATTTTCTTGGCGATGAGGGGGACTCCGCCCCCCTTCAAACCCCCCCAAACAGAAGGGGGCATATCCCCCTTCTGGCAACCCCCTGATGTATCTTTTGGTTGGGGGGCCGCGCCGAAAAACTGGTCACTTTTTTTATCAACATTTCTCAAACAAAAACAAGTGTTAAAGGCCTAAATAATGCATTTTTTCACTATTTGAGACAACAAAAAAAGGGGGGTGAAAAAGGCGTTAAAAGGCGTGTATATGAAGTAATGGTTTAATAAAGTGATCATGTGTTCGAGCACTACAGAAGGCACAGGTCACCATATGTATTTGATGTAGGTTCAAATAACCTACGATCTTAACAAACTACCAGACGTCAAATCGATGATGCCTTAACCCGAAAGGGTTTTACATTTAATCAAGATTAATGTAAAATGAAATTAGAATAAATGCTTTTGAAAAGTATACAAAATGTATGGCATACTATTCAAACATTACATACAATATTACTTAGATAGGTTTGCACTGTGACAAATGATGATGTTATGTTAGGAAATACTTATAACAAATAAATTAATTGTTGTGATATTTATACGAACTTATTGGACACAAGACATTTACTTTTTTTAAACCTTTTAAATTTGTAAGTTACAAATGAAATATGTAGGTGGTGGGTTTTAAATAATAAAATATAAAGCCCATTTGATATATAGAATCTTCTCCAGAAAATAGAATATGAAATTTTTGAGCAATTTTCCAAAAATATAAGCTTCTCTTTTCACATAGTATTATAACAGACAACATTACAGGCTTACTTTTGTAACAAATATCCCCAACTTTTCTAAACTGTGATATCTCCTTCTTTGTTTTTTCAAAAGCATGTTTTAATGTCATTTTCTAGTGTTGATTATATAAGACAGTTTTAACCTGGGTGTAATGTGTTTGATCCCTATCGTACATGTTCCAAACATGCCATTGATAGTTTTAGAACAAAATGATTTTAATGAGTGTAAAATATAAAACGTATCATTATAAACTGGAATGCTTAAATAGAATACAAAAGCTACTTTAAAAATATAACGTATATACAATATTTCTCTCTTGTTTAATGTAAGAAAAGTAATTATAATTTAAAACAAACATAATCTTGTGCATGCTATGTTTTTATAAACGCATAAAAAGTTCCAAATGATTAAGCAATTATCAAGTGAACAAACAATTTATAAATAATACAAATACATTTTATTTGTCAAAATAAGAATAAGAAATGGCGTAATATTGTAAAAAGCAGCACAGACATGAACTGTGATATAGTACAGTCAGTCATGTTTTCACATCACATGTAAAAAAGTCAAAATAACTTTTGTTTTTATATATTTTTATATGTATTCATATATTAGTCATATGTAGTCTGAGATTTAATATTTTTGAAAGTTTGTTTACTAATCTTCAAAAAATGAGCGGATGACAAAGTGTATTTCTATGCCCAATTTAAATACCCGTATAATGTAACTATAAGAAAATTAAAGGTAAGTAGCCATGTTGGTCATAAATTTAACCGATTTGTTATCCCCTTTGAATATCTTCCAATATTTTAACATTCTGTTTATTTATAGATAAACATAACAACAAGTAGACACAGTATTGTATAGCATTTTTTGTGATTGAGAGGATAAAGCTTACTTTCGAATTAGTTTACGTTGAAATGTTTTCTATCAAAATTCAAATTTGAAAGGATTTTCATTGCTTTCATTGTTGTATAAAGATTGATTTTCATAAATTCAAAATGGAGGTATCAGGCCGTAAGGAATGGGACGATATACATTCAACAGATAACCAAGGGAGACAATGTCGAAATCTTTGCCAGCCTTGTGAGTGTGACGGTGATACAATAGAAGCGGAGGCATTCTGTGAAACTTGTAATGAGTTCATCTGTTTTCCATGTTTGAAGGCTCATCGTAAATTTGCTATAAGTAAGAACCACGTGATCAAGTCAAAGAATGAAATGCCAATATCAAGGGAAAAACAAAAAGACCCATGTTCGGAGCTGTGTTCAGTCCATTATACTGAAATAATAAAGTTCTATTGTGAAGACCATAATTCTGTAGGATGCGGAGATTGTATGATCCTGAGTCACAAAACGTGTTCTGTTAAACTCGTCAATGATGTCTCCGACAGCTACAATACCAGAGAGGAACTCGTGCAAATCAGGAAAAAGATGGCAACCCTTCTGCGTAGAATTTCATCTTACCAAGATGATATTGTAGATGGCATAAAGACTGCTGATGAAATGAGAGAAAGAATTATGAAAGAAATTGGCATTTTCCGACAAGAGATTAACGAATATTTGGATAATGCTGAGGCAGATCTGATGAAGCGAATAGATCAGCTGACATCAAAGCAAGTGTCTAAGCTTGGCCATATGCAAAAAGAATTTGAGTCTATGGATACTGAGATGAGAGAATGTCAAGACAAAATAACTAAAAATTCAGACAAGATTAATCAATTGTTTGTAATAGCAAAACTTGCTCATAAGAAGATTGAAGCCAGCCAGATTTCAACCGAGCAGCTAGCATTTAAATGTGAGATTGAAATATTTGACTTTGAAAGGTCTTGGGAATTAGATAAACTTTTAAAAGGCAAACTTCCCATTGGTGTTATCAATGAGGAAAAACGGAAATTTTGTACACACAGCAAAAAGAGCCTCAAAGATGTTCAAACAACGCTGTTAAAGAGTCTAAATGTCAGGTCTGTAGACGACAAAACGGATTGCTACATATCAGGAATGGCATTAATTTCCTGTGATGAACTCATGCTTGTTGATTTTACAAATTATTGTCTCAAACTTTTAAACGTAGAAGAGAATGAAATAACATGTAGATTTAAAACAAATGGTCAACCATGGGACGTAACTTCCATCAATGCAGGATTATTCGCAGTAACTCTAGTCACAACAGGTGAAATACTCTTCATAAATACATCGAATGGTATTTCAAAAAGTAACAGTATTAAGGTCAGAAATAACTGTAGAGGAATCGACTACAGTAACGGAGTTCTTTTTGTACCTTTCGACTATCCAGCATGCGGACAGCTACTTGACATGAAAGGGAAAGTAATGAAAGAGTTTGATATCGCGAAACATTGTCAATATCCTCATTATATAGCTTCGTGTAACGACGACAACAAAACCTACATTGTGTTCGATTACTTTAAAACTGCCCTTGTTGAGTTTACTGTTGATGTGAATGTGAAGGATAAAGTAACGAGCAGTGATATAAAATCACCAAGACAACTTGTTATGACTCATGATGGAGCGATTATTGTTTGTTGTAGTGGTATCCAGTGATAGACTTAACATGGTTAAACCAAATACAAGAGAGGTGCCTTCTATTGTTGTGAAAAATGTCAAAAGTCCAATGTGCTTCGCGATATCTGATCAACAGACGAAGATGTATGGAACAGAATTAATGCATTTATTCCATCTTGCTTTATGATATCGGAACTTACATTATGCTTGCTTCTATACTTCTTTATGACAATGAAAACCTGCGTTTTGCTGAATTCAATCATGCCTTATGATTACTGAATGCACTTTCATGTAATTGCAACCTTGTGTGTTCCCTACTAAACCATCAAACTCACATATTTTAATATGCTATATGTTTAATTGCATCTTTTTTTAAGGACAACGTATTATGTTTGGTGTTTAAGATAACATTCTTTATAACCATATGTAACATGGTAGTTGTATCTTTAATTTGCTATAAATCTGCCACTTATATTGTCGACATTATGTCAAATAAACTATTCATTTTGATCAATAATTGGCGAATTTGATGCGTCTTAGCATTCATATGCTTCAATATATTCACTGATTATAAATATAATGCAATACATGATCACTGCGCATCGACAACGAAGATGACAACGATAGCGATATTATAGTCGCATGTGACAGTACGCACTAAGCAGTTGGCAGTAAGCATAATGCGAGTTGCAATAATTTGTGTTCATATTATGACAGCAGGTGTCGCTTTGTCGGTACATCCCGTTATTTTCCGGATGATCCCGTATTTTGGCACGTGGAGTAAACAAAGCTACGTCCACTTTATATAGGGGCGTATACAGAACAGTGTTAGTTGGGGACTGACATGTAAATTTACTGAAAAACAAGCGAACACGATGCGACAGACGAAAAGTGCGTGTTTTTGAAGATTCCGCCAGCATGCGGAAAAAAAGTTATATATGTCTCTAATAACTCATCCTACAAGTGGCAACTCACCTCTTATACAATTGTTTACACTTCTTTTTGAGCGTGTGTGATAAGTGAAATTGAATTTTATCAAACTTAAGGTGGCACAAAGGTGACATGTGTGTGTTTTTATTTATCTTGTGCGCACGAGATACTATGTCGTGGCCACGGGTTACTAAGTCGTGACCACGAGATAGTTAAGTCGTGGGAACGAGATAATATGTTGTGGCCACGAGTTACTAAGTTGTGGCCACGAGATAATTAAGTCGTGGGAACGAGATAAGTAAGTCGTTCCCACGACTTAATTATCTGGTCGTGGGAACGAGATAAGTAAGTCGTTCCCACGACTTAATTATCTCGTGGCCACGAGATAAATAAGTCGTTGGAACAAGTTACTATGTCGTGGCCACGAGAAAGTTTAGTCGTGGCCACGAGAAAGTTTAGTCGTGGCCACGAGAAAGTTAATTCGTGCGAACGAGATAAATAACCAATCAAATTACACTATTTATATGAATTTTCCTAACAAGAATGCCCCTACTTCACTTGCCCGTAAAAGTGCCATTTATACAAGTTATTGATTGGTCAAAGATTTAGCGTCATTGTGACCCTGATTTCTGACCAAATTGCCTGAAAATTATTAGGTGTCATCTACTGATCTTTTTAGGTTATATAAACTACGGCTTATTCTTTCTAAATCATTCATCAGACAAGGATTTTACATGAAGTGTCATGTTTATCTGACTTGTGACCTCATACATCCTTATAGGATATCTACTGTCCATGGGCAATGTTCCTTCCCAATAAAATAAACCAGGACTAAGTCCCTCTCAAGTTAAGGTATGAACAATGTTAACAGGCCTTTGTACGTACAAAATGACCAATTCTTTCATAGAATTGTCCCAACAAAGGGCTATAACTTAGTCAAAATTAATGTCTGATTTATGGGCCTTATGATCCTAAAGATGTATTAAGTTCAAAGTGAACATTTCAATATTTTCAAAAGTAGTATAGGGGTCTCTTTAGCGTCACGTCTGCGCATGCGCGGCGGCCATATTGGATTTTTTATTTAGAATGACATCATTGTTCTATTTTGAGAATGTGATCATCCGTCTATTTTTAGAAATCTATTTTTAATCTCCCGGAAGTATACGGAGCTGACTCGTATACACGATTTAGGGCTTGAATCGCGGACATTGAGGGTCAGGTCCTCGGCCCTAGACGGAGAGATAATTACCATTATGACAGATAAAAGAAATGTTTGTAAATAGATACGTACTTAACATTTTAATTTATAAAAAATAGTTTTTTAATAGGTTCAAAATAATATTGATACAAATATAACTCGTTTACTTACCTACATTTAGTAAGGAAATGACTGTCATAGCGTAACGTTCTTGTAGACTGCGCATGATCTATTTTTAGTCGCGGTATTTCACAACCACCAGGAGCTATTTCATCAGCCCCCACGCGGGTGTCAATGAAAGAAAAAGGCATTAAGTACAGTCGCCGCTCAGTCTAGATTCACAATACCTAGCGGCACTATGTTGAACAAAAACCCTTTATCCTTCGTTACTAAATATAACTTTTTATTAATCACAAAAAGAATCTATTATCCTTTCAAACGCAGCGACCGTCAAGTACAGTCGCCACTTAGTCTAGATTTACAATACCTAGCGGAACTATGTTGAACAAAAACCCTTTATCCTTCGTTACTAAATATAGCTTTTCATTAATCACAAAAGATTAATAGAATTGACGGACCTTTTCTGTTACGGTTGATAAAACCGGAGGGGATGAATTAATTGAAATATGGACCAATGAAGATGGTTTTTTTTACAACGCATCAATTATACAGATTCTGCCGAACTAAGGCGTGTTTGGTATCAAATGAAACGTCTTAAGCCGCTCTTTATGAATACGGACTAAAATCGAAATTAAAATCACTCATGCGTAAAAATCATTAAAATAACTAAAATAAGCTTACCCCAGTCTTTACTCCTTGCCTATCAAACTATTTATGACAAGTTACTATAGCCTATCGTTAAACGGTCCAGTTACGACAGGTTTAAAACCGGTATTGCTATTTTTGATTAGCCAATGAAATTGAAGAACGAGGTTTTAAAACCATTTTTTTAAAGTTCATAAAACCCTTAGATTTATATGCCGTTTGAAAGATCTCTGCCAGTAGATACAGAAAATGTATTATTATATAGATCTATCTTTTACTGTTTCTGAGATAGGAGAGTTTCAATATGGCAGACAAAATCACTCATGCGGAAAAACGCGCATAACTTTTTCGTTTATGAACGAAACATAGTCATGTTTGTTATCAAATTGAAGGTCTTGACGAGTACATTCTGACGCTGGCGATAGTAAAGTTCATACTGGAAGTCAAAATCACTCATGCGTAAAAAAATATATATTTTGGTTTACTAGAGCAACCGAATCCGATATGATTTTTTAATTGTTGACTACCAATTGAAAGAACAGTTCATTACCTTTAATGTACACCCATTGTCGATTCGATTTTTAGGCGTTCTCGAGTTATGGCCCTTTATCGATTTTTAAACTATTTTTTCAAAGTCCATAAAACCCTTAGATTTATTATACCGTTTGAAAGATCTCTGCGAGTAGATACAGAAAATGTATTATTATATGGATCTATCTCTTACCGTTTTTGAGATAGGAGAGTTTGAATATGACAGACAAAATCACTCATGCATATAAATACGTATAACTTTTTTTTGTTACTGGACATAACATAGGCATGTTGCATATCAAACGAAAGGTCTTGACAAATGCTACGAGCTCGTACTGTTAAACCGAGAGTGAAATCACTCATGCGTAAAAAAACATTAAAAATAACTAAAATAAGCTTACCCCAGTCTTTACTCCTCGCCTATTAAACTATTTATGACAATTTACGACAGGTTAAAACCGGTATTGCTATTTTTGATCAGCCAATGAAATTGAAAAACGATGACGTCTAACAATAGACAGCCTCGTTTTTGAACCCACTCTTTTTCATTAACCAATGAAAAGTGGAGAAGGATAACTGGATAAATTTTGACTATAAAAAAACGCCTTTTTTTTGTCTTTTATGCAACACTTTACGATATCGATTTTCAAGATATTTGTTTCATTTGATAGACCTTACCAAATGCTTCAAAATAAACCCTAGGTTCTCGATTCGATTTTAAGCCGTTCTCGAGTTATGGCCCTTTAGCGATTTTTAAACCAATTTTTTAAAGTCCCATAAAACCGTGAAATGTATATATACCGTTTGAAAGATCTCTACGAGTAGATACAGAAAATGTATTATTATATGGATCTATCTCTTACCGTTTCTGAGATAGGAGAGTTTGAATATGGCAGACAAAATCACTCATGCGGAAAAACGCGCATAACTTTTTCGTTTATGAACGAAACATAGTCTTGTTTGGTATCAAATTGAAGGTCTTGACGAGTACATTTTACTTACGTCGATCAAACCGGATGTTAAAGTCACTCGTGCGTGAAATTCATTTATTCTCCCCAACCAACGGACCGATCTTATCAATACCTGTATCGAACGAAAAAAAAAGTTATTACTCACTAAATTCAGAAAATGGCTATATTTTTTGTATCGCTGACTCGGATAGGACATGAGATATGAAGTAAAATCACTCAAGCGTAAAATGTGATTGACGCCTTCCTTAGTCAACATAACTCGGTCATGTTTTGGTAATCGTACGAAATGTTTTCAGGTGCTCTTTATGAATACGGACTAAAAATCACTAGTACATAAAACGCTCCTATTTCTATTAAACATTCTTCATTGAAAATACTGTACTTGAAATATAAACTCAACTTTACTGCCGTAATGATGTTTACTCTTTGACGTCCAATCACCAAATGACTGAAGTCACCAAGCTGCGATACATTATGCGCATGCGCTGATCTAAATTTAGAAATGACATTGTCCAATCTAACACAGCAGTTGGTCTTTTCTTACGGACTGAATGTAACCAATCAGACAGAAGATTTATTTGACCAATGATTTTGGTCACGTGATTATTTATAACATAAATAGATGAATAACGTCATGCCAAAAT